GTATTTCAGGAATCCACGGAGGGATTACCTCTTGAAATGGAGGCTGTTTCAGCACGCGCAGGCCTGAAACCAGGGACATGTGAAGAGCCTTCATGGGAATCGCTATCCCTGGGGGAAGCTACCAGTAGGTTGGAGTCTGTTCCAACAATCATGGAAGTCTTCCAACACCCTTCTGTGGGGCTTTGGCGCGAAAACGCAAACAGTTGACATAGACACCAAGATAAAGAGAAATCTCGTTCAGGAACCCCCGTCAGGTTCCATGTTCGTGCATGGCATGGGGGGCTGGATTGAAACGGTGTGCTCAGCTTGTATCGGCCGGTCGGTCTCTATGTGCTTCAACCCAGGTTTGGACCTGTCGCAAACATCAAAGAGCACTTCAAAAGTCCTAGTGCTCTCTGCACAGCAAAGGCTTACCCAGTTTTTGGAACCAACTAGCCTGCCTGTATGCGCAAAGTTGATCCTTGGGTAAAAACACTACCCTTTGTGCAAATGTTTGTCCTTGACCAGGGGCCATTGGGCTCCAAAAACAAAGCGCGCTCGTCACTGAGGCGAGACTGAGCTCGCATGGCTGGCCAAATGTCGTCTCGGCTATAAAGCACCACACTCTTGCCTAGTCCAAAGGGCCGCGTGATGGCCTGGCTGTGCCCTATCTGTTCACGAGCAACAGGATTTCCCCAAATCTCCTAACTTCCGAGGGTTCCCAAAAGAAGACACCATGGTATGGTGGCGTCTTCCCCGTCAAAAAGAAGAAGAAAAAAACTATCCCACTCTCATTGTGGCTATTGCCCTGTGCAACAGGCTTCACTTTGGTGACTAGTCTGAAGACACACATTTACCCAACAAAAAGGGAGACTCTGAGCGCTGGATTGCTTCATGCTTCTTGTCTACCAACAAAAGAGAAAAAACGGCTCAAGAGCCAAGCAAATAGCCGCCAAGTCAGGTCGTTTCCGCGCGCCTCTCATGGCCGAGGCTGAAGTCTTCACTCCGGAGGCGAAAGCTGGGGTCCTGAGCGCCGGGCGTCTCTCATTCGTGGGTGGGGAGGTTTGGGGAGACTGCTCATGGGTGACAGGTGACTCTTCCGTGCTTGGCACCCAAACCCAACTCTGCCCTTTGCCCTTCTAGTATCCTGACTGGGAAAGCTATGTTGGCTAAGGGCTGCCGCAACGGTGGCTTGCTGCTGCAGCATGTTGGTTGCTGTGTCTCATGGGTGCTCGCCTTTGGTGTCTGGCAGCTACTTATGTTCAAGCCCCACAAAAAGGACACACCCATTTCGGCAAACCCGCGACCACCCTGCCAGGCCACCCAAGGCTCCTTCGCCCAAGCGCTTTCAGGTGACCAGCAAAACGGAACACGCGGCCCGGAGTGCTGAATGCAGGCGCGGCGAGCGGAATTTGACTTTGGGGTCAAGTGCATCAACCGGGCCACAACTTGAACCCCAAGCAACAATAACTTTCCGCTGGTCGAACAAAGCAAAGGTGGAAGGCAAGCAAGAGCGGGGCAATGTATGGCGGTACAGAGAAAACGGGGGCCCGAACAAAAAGACAGACCCCTATGCCCAAACATGACACCTCATTCAAAACGTGTTTTTGCGGGGCGCCTAGCTTCATTGTCGATGAATGCTGAAAATCCGCCTGTGGTACCCCCGTAGGTTTCATGCCAACGTCTTGTTCCCAAAGGCCTTTGAAGCTCAAGGAAGTGATGCGAGCTCCAGCTGAGTCGCAATCAAAACATGGCATTGCCAGAGTCTGCCCAAGCCACGTGAAAACATCTGGCCATGGGTCAAAACCCCGGTTAGCCCCCAGTGAACATCCCAATCCAACCACTAAAATAGACTAAAATGGGTGGTGCACCTATTCCAAAATGGTACCATTGGTTTTGAACCATGGCCATTTGAGTTGGCGGCTGCACCTGTTTACGACCGGGACTGTCCCTTACTAACCTTCATTTACCAGGCTCAGGGTTTCCATCGCAGCTCAGCTGGCCAAAGCCGATTCACTCACTGCGGCGCGCTCTTGTGGGGCCCCGTCCTTTTGGCAGCTCCAACCCTAACAGTGGAATCCATCTGTGCTGAACCGGCTGACCTGAAAAGGAAGCTTCCCGTGAAGGCCGAATCCTGTGCTTTGACCAAACTATCGTGGGAGTTATAATCCTTCACCAATCGATCAAAAGCATCCATACGGAAGGAATCTTCATCATAAGTTGTCTGTCATGAACCAAAACCTTCTGTCGAGTCGCTATAACCACCTGAAGGGGTCCTTGATTTTTCAGAAACACTCATGACCCTGCCGTCTCTCTTCGGAACTTACTTTTTGCATGTGAGAGGTTGGCGATGCTTTGGGCATGAGCACTTACTCTTGGGCGAGAACGCATGCACTGTTGTTTGCTATTTCCCTGAAAAAATGATAGGCGGCAACTGGGTTTGAGATAGCACAAATTCATCGTAGTTTCTGGACATTCCCTAAGCATCTAGGGCAGGGGTCTGATTCTTGTGAGAAACACCCACCGACAGCTCCAAAGACATTTACTGAGAGAAGCCCCCGTTTGGGACCATAGGAACCCAGAAGGAAGTCGATCTGTCCCTTTCCCGACGTGGGTATGTGTCAGAATAGCGGTACCCCCCCTCCAAAAAAAAATGCTTGCCCCTTAAAAAAACCAACCCCAAAAAGGGTACCGAGCCTCAATAAACGAGCCACGCCCATTTGGATTTGCCCCCCCTTAAAGAACAAACACACGGTTGCCCTTTGAATCAACCCAAAAAAGGGTACCAAGCCTCGTCACTTGAACTCTCCCTGGAGACTGGCCATTTTCTCTCGCCTCATCCCGCAGGCGTCGCGCGATGTCCCCTTTGTGGCGCTGTCTGCCCGCGCACGCAGCGCGGGCTCTGCGAAAGAAGGGAGCTCGCAGGTTTTCCCGCGGGTTTCCCCGAACAGACCCGAAAAGGAATGTGTGTGTTTGAGCATTTCAGTCTTAAAAATAAAAGAACGGGGGAGACCGCAGTTTGGTGGGAAGCACTCATTTTCATCCAAAACGTTACAGGCTTAAAGGTCGCAACCACCAGCGTTGTGTTTTGGATGGTCCCTTTCATTCTTCAACTTGGTCCTTGGAGTGTCCTGAAAGGCTAACCCCTGGAACCCCATGAGAATGCAGAAGCAGCAAATCGGCCTTGGAGCTTCTGTGTAGGTGGTGTTCGCTTTTCGCGTCTTAGCCACATGGGAAGCTGAGTGAAGCCTTTGCTTGTATGTATGGGCAATTGGTGTCAGGGTGCCTTTCCAGCCCTAAAATTGTCTGGATAAATCCATTGAAAACATCCACGACAATCCCTGTAAGCAGCTCTGGGTGTTTCCACCAAATGGAAGCCCCCCCCTGCTTTCGCATCATTCCAAAGGGAAGCCCAAAACACACGCCGCCGACTTTGAACACCCAGATATTCACTGCAAAAAAACAGTTGGACCAGTGGAAAGCTGGGCTTTCTGTGGTGAAACGGCGGAATCCTCGACCTTAGAGGCTATGCGCCAGGATTGGTGGCAAATTCGCTAACAACCCGGACCCTGGTGCCCCAGCCCACCCCAAAAAAAAGAGGAAAGCCCTTCCGAAGGGTGGAAAGAAGATGAAGTGGTAGTCCCAACAGCAACTCCCCTTGGCACCCTTTTTGGAACCGTCCTTTGGAACCCGCTCCGGAGCTTCTTTGGGCCGATCGACCCAAAAAAAGATGCCAGCTGCTGGGGAAAGACATGGGTGTTTCTCTTGTTCGGGGACTCCCTGCAAAAAAAGAAGAAGTGGTTTCCTGTTGGTGTCCCGTTTAAGACCATACAAAAGTTTCTTGTTCGGGGACCCCGTCAAAAAAAAAGTGGTTGTCTTGTTGGTGTCCCTTTTATTACAATCAACAAGAGGTGCTCTCAGGCCCCTCAGCTCCCAGATCTCCGCTGTTGAGACCCTTCGATTGAAGGTCCGCGGTAACATCTCCGGGTTGGCGGTTCGTGGTCACTGGGAGTGGTAAAAAGAAAAATCGTCACACGCAAACCACGGCCCCTTTTACCGGGAAGCCAAAAGGAGGTTCTTTGAAAAAGGGGCTGGCCCTTGCCGCTCCCATGGGTTGTCTCGAGGCGGAATCCAAGAAAAACGTGGCTTCCTTCGCGCTTCCCGAACCAAAAGCCATACCCTCAAACAAAACGAAACTCACGTCTAACCTCTTCCTTAAAACATGGTTGATGCTCACCATTCTGCTTGAAGAGCGAAGTGTCACTCGGGCAACCCGAGTGGACAGGCTCAGAAGCTCGGAGGAAGCTGACGCCTCGCGTCCCATCAGTTCTGGACTTTGGGTCTGGGGCAGCCGAACTCCCCTCTCTGAGACACGTCGAACCGCATCCTCACTGAATCTTGGATTTCCCCCAATCTATGGCTCCGCGAGCGAAACACATCGCAGGGCAGGCGGCGTGGATCCGCGAAAGAATCCAGGAAATAAGTCTGGACGACAAACCCCCAGTCTAGCCCTCACTCCTCTGTGTCACACTCTTCAAATGTCGAATGCTTCACTGAATTTCCCATACAGTCGGATCAAGTTTCATCCCAGATCAGCGACGCTCGCTAATGATCAGCTTCCCCCAGGCCCAGGCTCTTTTGTGCCAAGAAGCGACATCGGCTTCGAGCAAGTGGCGATGCTGTTTTTTGAAAGACTCGAGCTGAATGTCAGTCCATGGTCGTGCGTTCCAGCAGTGACCGAAAGCCTCACGTCGCGACAATTGTGGCCAACGGCATCTCGAACAAAACCAAACCTTCCCCAGGCTTGGGTCACAGCTGGAATGAAACCTCTTCAGGTTACCCCCGGCGGAACCGTGCTGGTCCGCTTATGTGCCAAAGCGTTCAGCAGAATCTCTACCTCGGGGTAAGGTCCCTAGAACTGGCGCACCTCTTTGTCTACCAAAATGAAAGCACGCTTGGTAAAACAGAAAGATCTGCTGATGTGAAGCATGTTGAAAAGTCGAGCCGACACTCTCTCAGGCTCAGTCGTCCAGCCTGAGACTGCACGCCGCAGTAACATGGAATCCACCGCCCAAAGTGGGTGTCTCAAATCTATTCGTCACCTAAGGATGCAATGAGTACGAATCCTAGTTCCTTTGCATAGGCAACCACGCATGCCTGCGAGTCAAGCTCGTCCCTCCCGAACACTAACATGCCCGGTTGATGGGCGGGGTATGGGGAAAAGACTTTGGACTCCCGACTCCCCGGCCAACATCCCAGAGCCATCAGTTGCACTGAGTCTCTCCTTTGCAAAGATGCAATCCATATGCTCCACAAATACGTGTGGCTCAGAAATTTTGGACCGTTGCTTCCTCCACTCCACACAAGATGCAACTCGCTATCCACCAACAGCGATTACTTGATGCGGGTTGCCAGAGATCCCACCTTCCTTGAAAACCACTGATCTCTGAATATCTGAATGCTGTCGAATGGAACGGAATGCGGGCCAATCCGTGAGTTCGGAGAAACATTGAGAGAGGCGTCCCATTCACAATGACAGAGCGTGAAGGCCTGTCATCCCCGGTAAGAGAGAGCTCAAGTAAGAGAACAAACGCATCTTGCATTCCGACAACCATTGGCAAAATGCACCAATCACTGTAAAACTGGAGCTCGGAGGCCCATCATGAAAGGATCCATTTTCCATGCCCACCCCCCCCCCCCTTCTCTCCCCAGATCGCTTGGCGCGGAATGACATCGGCACCTTTGCAACTGGGTCAACAAGTTGACTCGCTACCACCTCTTGCTGGCTCTCGTCGGGGAAGCAGTTTGGGTCTTGGGAATGCACAAGTGGATCCCCTTAAAGGAACCAAAAGGATGCATCACAAAATTATTCTCTCATTCCCTGGTGAGCACCGGCAAAACCTCAGAAACAACAAAACCAGACGCTCAAGCAAGAAGTTGCGGGGAGCGCTGACCGCCTCTTGCTTTAATGGCAACCAGATTTTGAGTATATAGATCTGCACGAAGGGGGGACACCCCCGACACCCCAACACCCCCTCGCCCCAAAGAAGAAAAAAAATAGCACTTCGACACAGGAGCCTTTCGCGCGGCACGGACCGGGGGTCAGGCACAACCACCTCTCCAGCCTCCCAGCTGCCGTGCCTCGGTCTTCAAGAGGAAAGGTTTCGCCCAAGAACTATGGCCCGGGTGAAAGCAGATGGCCGAATTCTCATGTGAGCCGAGAAAATCCCGAACTCAATGCCATGAGGAAGTTGGGTCCCCTGTTGGTGTTCAGTGAGTTGAGGTAAAAAAGGGGGTCGAGTTTGGGTGGTCAACTATCGGTTTTGCGGGCGATTGCTGATTTTTGCTAGGCCCAAGGCGCCCCAAACACTGCCGAACACTACTTGTTTCTTTGTGGGATACTCATGTGGTAACCAAAACGGGGAGATTGTAGCACCTATTTTTGAAACAAATCGAATGATCTTGACTAGTGGGTGCAACTCGCATCAGATCCTGACGTCACTTTTTTGCTACACATTCCCTTCCCCCTGTTAAACAAAGCAGAAAAGAGCACATCTTCTAAAACAAGCGTGCCAAATGTCCGATTTCCGAAGTCGGACAGTACCTGGCAAATAAGTACAATCCACACCTGACTTATTGAAGTCCCCCAGTACAGAACCTTCGTGGATCGCATGATGTTCCAGGATGTGCTGGTGGTCTCAACATTGGGGGGCGCGGTGACTGTGCTGAGGCTTGCCATAGAATACTGGCACTTCAAATGCTTCAATTATTCCGGAAGCAGGCCATTCCCAGGAGCAGAAAGAAAAATGGAAAAATAATAGTTGTGTTTCTTTCAGGGTGCCCAAGAATGGTTGTGTATCTTTGAGGGTGCCCCTTTTGCAGGTGTTTAAAGGGAAACTACATAGATCATTTCAGAGAAACCGATCATTTTTGGGCCCTTGACACCAGCGGGATTCTAAGGCCGTGCGGTGTCTAGGAGCCCCCGGCGCGCTGGCAGCTTCCCCGCCTGAGGTGAAAAAAGCATCCCACACCGATGCTGTCAACAGAAACGCAGAGGAATCTGGGGGTTTGCAACCTCCAAACTCCTGATTCCAGGGTTTGGAACCTCGAAACTTAGGGGACATCCTCCCAAGTGCAGGTGGTAGTTCGTCGAAGGTCCTGGAGCGTCCCTTAGAGACACTTGAGCAGCCCTCCCGCCTTTTTGCTGGATGGGGACTGAAGTGTATGCATCAATTTGACGTAAAGTGGGACAATCTGATGCAAGGGCACCATGTACTGCGGTTAGTAGCACTTGGCTTATTCATCTGAAAGGGGAAGTGAGTGAGCTATCCGATCCTCACGAACGATTCCTATGTCCCCCAACCACTTGTGAGGCGGTTCCCTACTAATACTCATAGCCACACATCGGCATCCCAACGAGGCCGCGTTGCTCAAGCTGGGCATTGCGTCGGACGGAGCTTCTTGCCGAGCTCTACCAGGCTTGGTTCACTTGCCAGCCGCTTGCCACTGTTCACGTGAAGAGCAGGAACCCATGGTTGGCCTGTTGTAAAAGTGAAACCAACATGAAACCCATCTGGAAGGAGGGGGGTACTCAAACGAGAGACCCCAACCATTGGTTGGCTTCCCTTTCATCCAAACTCCTCTAGCAAGGATGCTTACGAAAAAATACACCAGCAGAGACCCCAGATAGCGAACAACATGCCAACGTTTGTACACCAGCACCCCCAACAGCACCCCCTGAAGAGTGCCCCAAACAGCACCCGGCCGTCAATGTCGCAAAAGTGCGCCCGGGCCAACACCAGCACCTCCAACAGCACCCCAAACAGCATCCCAAACTGCATGCCCCCTTGCAGCCTACCATCCATCTTGCAAAAGTGCGCATCAATCTCACCAGCACCTCAAACAGCACCCCAAACTGCACGCCCCCTAGCACCAGCCCATCAATCTCGCAAAATCACTTTCCCCGCTTTACTAGAAATTAGAACCCCTATATTCAGCTATCTGGGGAAACACAAAACCACCCAAAAGGGCGCCAAAAAAGAGTGCCCATAGACGGATTCGTACATTCATCGTGAAGTCACAATGGCCCTGTGAATACAAGATCACATGCGCCATGGTCAAACATCCTTATGAGGGCTATGGTCATGGTTCCCTGCAAGGAATTCTTATCATGGCCTACTTTCCATATTGAATCCATGAACCATCCCTACTGACACCAAAAAAGATCCGCTTGAGCCAACTCAACCCATACCTCCAGTGGTGGAAAAAAGGGCGACTGATTTTGGTAATTGAATTCCCCCTCCGAAAAGGGAGATCTGGGAGACATGGGGTTTCCCCGCCTGCGCCTTCGGCAAGCAGGTCCTCCGGAGGCGTCCATCCACTGTTGGGGACGTCAAATCCCCAAGAAACCCCGACGCCGAGCTTGACGGCGGGTTAGACGGGTGCGGAAGGAAACAAAACATTTGGAAGAGCCGGTGTCCTATTTAGGCGCACTGCACCTTTCCGGCAAAAGGGATCCAAAGCATTCATTTGCGGCAGCAGTGGCATCAGAGGTTTTCTGCTACAGAAGGGAACCCCAGGCGTCCTTTTGAGCAAAACAGCTGGCCTGGTAAATGATCAGAACCAACATGATAGGACACCTTTCAGGGGGTGTGCAATCCTCGAAACCTGCAGCTACTCGAGTGTTTGTCTTGGCTTGAACATATGCACAGGTCCTGGTGAGCCAAACAAGCCACCACACTATTTATTTTGTTGCCGGTAGATGCCCCGCAAAGCCTGTACATATACACTATGTCAGATTTGCGCATGTTTATATATATATATACACATCAAACAAACACATCACACGTGTGTCCTCCTCCTTCTGAGCGGCGCAAGCAAATGATCCATGTGCAAATGCTACAAAGACTGCCGAACTTGACACGAATTCGCAGCTGTCTGGTTTTTCAGTCTGACATCTTCCAACATCTGGAAGGCTCAGTTGCTTGATTCCTCGGCAAGAGGTCACCACACAAATGGTTCGTTGTTTGGACAACTTCGTCCTCAAGCCCAAAAGGGGAGGCCCGGTAGAGCCAGCTGGTTGGTTGGGGTGGTTCACCTTCTCTATGGGCGCGCCCCCGAAACTTCAGCCAGGTGTCTAAATCAGCTCCAAGTAGATTGACAAATCAGCTCGAACCACTCGCAGGCGCACCAACCTCTAGAAGTGCCTTGTGTGCAGGTCCCCACTTGAGAATACTCAGGCCGAGTAAAAATGAAACCTTGGATGCTTCACAAACCCATGGGGAACTCTGGAGTCTCCGTTCCTGCCCCAAGGCCAGTGCCCCTCGCTTTGGGATTCGCACCCACCCTGCAGATTTATGTAGAACCCGAAATGCCTTCCTTTACACAGGGGTCGCCTTCATCTTAAGCACCGTCGGAAATCCCTTGACACAAGGGGAACCACTTTCTGGTTGTTCAAACAACCTCGCCCAAGCCTGGATGAATGGGAAACCATCCAGGGCTCCGCATCCCAGTTTGCGGTTTGCCCATGTGGAGCCGCCCTCCTTGGTTCAACTCTGAGCATCAAACACTTGAGGTTCTGCTTCATCTCTCTTCACAACCCTCAGTATGGTAGCAAAAAAAATGCTTTTCAGAGCGCCCCCCCCCCCCCCCACTAAAAACGAACAGAACCAAAGAAAACTGAAAACCAGAAATGAAGATCTCGTCATTGGCGGAGACCCCTCCCTCCCTTGGACCTCCCCACCCCTCGCCTCGAGTTTCTGGTCCCCGAGGTCCGTCACCGGCCACCGGCAGGCGGGGCAGTCCGTGCGGAACCCGCACTGCCCGCCTATCAAAAGAGGCCCAGGCGCGGATTCGCATGGTGTTTGCTTTGTTTCTTGGAGAGCGGCATTTCCCACCACCAAACGAAGAACCGAAATCCGTTCAAGTGGTATTTGTCTTGTCTTACATATATCTATACTAAACAAGAAACGAAATCCGTTTTTGGTGCTCTAGTTTGACACATTCCCCACGTGGTTCGAGACCTGCCGCAAGAGACGTGATGGGTACACCAGGCTGAACAAATGGCGCAATTCCTTTTATGTGGGTGCGCAAAGGGGGGCAGGGGTCCTCTACAAGGATTGTTGGCTGCAACATGATGCTAACACTGCTGCTCATTCGCAGGTAGCTGCAATTCTCTTAGCGTCTTCCTTTTCATTATCCTTTTGCACTACTACATGAGCAGTTCCACTAGTTTTGCAGAGCAAATGAGTGGCAAGGATGGAATGCTCACCTTCCAAGAAGCAGTTTCTCCTAATTTGCGTGCCCCTGAAAAGGATGAAACGCGAATATAGAAACCCAAAATATTTGCAAGTTTTAGCCAAGTTTAAATAGGATGCTAATTTCAAATCAATTCAATCCAACCATTTTGAATGTAATATAACAGACGACATATCGTCCACTTGACTCAATTCAGATATTAATTAGAATGTCCATGCAATGTAGTAAGAAAAGACTGGCATGTATGACTTCAAACATATTTCTAATACAATCCAATAAAGCACATTGACGTTCAAATCTGATACGCCGTCCACAATGTGCCCAGTCATCTGTGTATGATGATGATTGCAAAACACAGGCCCCATGTCCCGTTCAGTGAGTTGCACAGTCAGAATCAATCATCAGAAAAGCATACGTACAACTTGTTTACGATGTCAAACCTCAAAACCGAGGAGGAAAAAGCGCCACTGCAGTCCACCAGCCTCATTCTAAAAAGTGTTAAAGGCCGGCTGCAGACTAGGACGAGGGCAATCAAACTTTCCAAACTTTCCAAACCCCTGCATGCCTAGCTTTTTGTAAAGCGGGGCCTTTGCTTCGCGCTCATGAACTAGAAATGAGTGTTAGAAATCTTCGCGCGTGGACAAACCACAGCAAGTATGTGTAAGTGTGTGAGCGTAAGTTGAGTCAGCGAGGGCAAGTATGCTTCAGTTGTCATAGTCCGCAGTGAGCAAGCGGCAAGATTAAGTTTGCAAAAGAGCGGGTGAGAGTGAGAGTGGTTGAAAAGTCAGTGAGTGCAAGTTGAGGAAGTGAGGGTAAGTCCATGGAAGTGGAGCGAGAGAGGAGGAAGGAGAAGGAGCAAGGCGAAGGAGAGCAGCGGACGACATTAACAGTAAGAACCCCTCAGAAGAATGTGGGGAAAAACAAAAAACGAAAACAGAAAAGCTAAACAGAAGAAAGAAACAACACATGTGCAGACCCCGTGGGTCTGCAGGAACCTGAACATTTGGATTTGTGTGTGTGCTGTTTGTTGTTAAGGCCTTCTTAAAAAATGGCTGTCAGGTAGGGGCGCCTGTCTTTCTTTCAGGCGTTTTCCTTCATCTTCTCGGGCCACCCACTTGTCTTTCTTCCAGGTGCAATCGTTAATCCTGTTTGGACGACGATAGTGCTCCGCTTCGCTTCGCCGCATAAAGGGCAGCGCCATTTCCTTTCACCCTGGCGTTAGCTTTCGGGGGGCCGGCATATGGCCGCCTTTGGAACCCATGGCCCATGTTGAGAAGGTCCCGAAAAGGTGTCCATAATTTTGATAACACCCAAACATTGTCGAGCCACAAAAGGACTCATGCCACCCTTTCCATCAAATCCATCTGAAGGATCGGCAAACTGTCCAAACACGTAGGGAGGGTGGATGGTCATTGTTCCAAGGCGCTTTGCATTGCACACTCGCTTTCATTGAAGGGCTCCTTGCCTACAGGGCCTCTAAATGTGGGACAAACCTTTGCGGAAAACTACTCAAAGTAGGCCGAGACTAGAAAACCGAACGGTCCGAAGGGTACTGAGGTTTGTCATTGTGCGCAAAAAGTTCAAGTCTCCAGACGCGCCCAAATGGACAACATTGAGTTGCTCTCTCCGTGGTAAGACCACGGCTATGTGCTTGTGCATCACTTGGCATTGAACAATCTACCAAAAACGCGAAATAAATAGAAACACGCCAAGAAGTCAAGAAGGAGTTTGCCTCTTCTTGGGGGTTCAATCCATGCCACACACCCGGCACTTGTATGTGTAGGATCCACCCACTTCCCCCCCCCCCGCCCTCACTTAACCCCGGCCAGCTTACCCCGCCTCCAGCAGCAGGCGCTGGACCTAGGCCGAATGGCTAATCACAGGTGGTTCCCTTTTAGTAAGGGAGAGTTCTTCAAAAAAACAAAACGGGGTTCCTCTGACTAGGTTTAAAAGGAATACACTACCTCCTGCTGGTTCATTTGGGTAGGCCCCCCTGGTTTGGCAAGGAAAGGAAACTGCAGGCCCCCGCTGTCCTGCCCAAATCAGCCATAGACTACCACTACTGTGCGTTGCTCATATGTGCCATGGTCAAACCTCCTTGTGGCTCCCTCAACAGCCTTTGCATTGGTAAAATCGCAAGGGGGTGACCATTCCTACCAATCCGAAGGAAGCAGTTTGACCATGGCGCTATGGAATGTTCCAACCAGAAGAAAACGACCTGCAGGCTTGAGCCAACCCCGTTGGACATGTTGGAACCACCCACCCAAAAAACAACGGATATGGCTTCGGGATCCCCCATCTTGAACCAGTGAAGTGGCTATGTGTTTGTTTATATATATATATAGGGAAGTACCTCAAAAGCGGACACGGACCTCAACCTAAATGATGTCCACCAATTCGAGTCTTTTAAAACTCTCACACAATGACCCCAAGTCAGCACCGTCACTCGATGTCACTCAAGGTTCCTATAGACCGACTCATGTTGCATTGAACAAAAACACCCAGCTGCCCTGTGAAAGGAAGTCCTGAGACAAGTGAACTACTGTGGACGGACAAAATCCTGCACCACTTGGAAACCACGAAAAACCCTATTGGTTGGTATTTACAGAAGAATCAAACTTCTGGGCTTTCTTAGGTGGTGCGAAATGGATTTCGTCCATGCACAGTATTCGCCAGCCACATCAGATGACTTCAAAGCAGAGATTGCAGGATGACAAAAGCCTCAAGCTCACCTGCTTTTTCCCGTAGACCTCCTTCCCTGTGGGGAAACCGAGCTTTAGGCTCCTTCTGCCCCCAACAACCGTGTTCAATAAAACCTGCTGCGGAAAATACGGAGCATTGCACAGGACAAACAGGCAAGGCTTCCCTCGATTCACAATTGATTTAGAGCCAGAAACCTCAAGACAATGCTTAACACCACCATGAGGGGAAATGTTGGCCATGCAAGAAAGTTAGATGCTCTGCGATCTCTTGACCAGTGGACTCAAGCCTTCCCCAATTCGCGCCAGAAGAGGTGTGCCTTGATTTGCTCATGTAACGGGGTAAGTGGGCCGAAACCAGGGACCTGCTTGCGCTGGGCGTTGGGGAAGCCCCACACTTGGCCCAGCCAGTCGCGAAATCGCTCGCCCACCAGACTCCTGAGCACTGCGCTTTTCAGCCACCCTGGCTCGGGCAGCCGAGCTAAAATCTCAACCCCCTTCGCATCCCCTAACCTCCCACATTCGGAACCTGACAGAGGGCCCGGCGTTCTTTTTTTCGTGTTAGGTGCATGGGAGAGTAACGCAAAAAAAGCCAGGCATCCGCCGGTTGCGGTGCTCTTTGAAACATGCTGGGTGTTTTGCCCGTGGCACGGGGGGTCGCACAAAGTGATAACCGCTCCTTTGGTGATTCCAACTCCTGTCATCAAAGAAACATCCCCATGGAGTTCTATTGGCTTCGTCTCAGTCACTTCCTGAATTCCACCTTGTCGAACCTCACAAGTGGCAGTGTCAGGGAAAATGACGTGAGCCTACCTGTACATCATCCATTGGTTGAAAACATCTGCTGACCTCTGAGATGCCCGACGTAATTCTAGAGTCCCACTTGCCCAGCCAGCAAAAACGACAGACACACTTTCTTGTTGGTTGATTGACAGGTTTCGGTTGATTACACCAAGGTAGACTTCAGCCTACAAGTGCTTGATTTTCGCAAAGGAGAACCGCTGCGCTATACTCTACCGTGCAAGCTCGGCTTGAAGCCTTCCAGCTGCTGACTCGTGTTCTCTCCTCCTCAAAAATAACACGCAAGCATGCTGGCTGAGCCTAAGATGCCAAACCCCCAAACCCCCACACCCCCTAACCCCCTAACCCCCAAAACCCCCAAACCACCAAACCCCCAAACCCCCACACCCCCACACCCCCTAACCCCCAAACCCCCAAAACCCCCAAACCACCAAACCCCCAAACCCCCAAACCCCCACACCCCCACACACCCAAACCCCCAAGCCGCACCTAAGATTCCTCACCCCCAAACACCCCAGCCCCCAAGCCCCAAGCACCACGCCTGCAAGGCACCCCCGGTGGAAGGCGTGCAGGCAGGGCGTGAGAACCTCCGTGGCTCTCCAAAGCGCCCCGGCAACGTTGGACGGCCAACCGAGACTGTGGCAGTTGGGCGTCCTTTGTTTCGGGTGGTGCGCATATATAGATAAAGCAAGATAGAAGAGTTGTTTTATCTTTTCGCCACATCTAGAGAAGAGAAAGTGATAAACAAGATAACTCCATTAAACCATGGGAAGTTGGATCGGCTCTCTCGTTGGGACAGGTGCAAATAAATGTGTTTTGGGAATAAATAAACATGCTTGGCAAAACCTGACTTAATATGATAGCAACAGTATAGAAATAAGAACGTGTATATAAGATGGAAACACTATGAAAATAACAAAAATAAGACCAGTTAAGAGGGAAAAGGCAATGAGAAGAAATGAGGGGAATGGTTTTTAAAGACCACATACAACATTCGCTCTGGTGCCTGTTTGTTGTTTTTGCCGCAGAATCATGTTTTTTTCCATAGCATAATATCTGTACCTCATTGTCTTTATGAATAAGTACGTCCTTATAGTGTGAGAATTACTACATTTAGAAGCTACATCAGGCTCATGTTGATTTCTTAATTGAACATGTCCAACTTGTGAAGATTTGCAAATGGCAAATGTTTTGGCTGTCAACCTTCCAGATGCTCGGGGAGTAACTCTTGCTAGTACAGGTACTGTATCTAATGCTGCTATATCTCTAGAAATGCATTGATTAATAAGTCAATTGAATCAGAATATTGCGTGTGTGCTGTTCACTTGATGTTCATTAATTTCGTCTTTTCCCTTTCTATTAGCTTGCAGATTAGAGAATTGTGTATTCTTGTATTATCAATTATCGCTTCATGTTGTTCTTATTTTTCCTTGTTGAACTAATCTCTTACATTGCTTTCATCTACCAATTCGTATTGTCCGCTTCTAGTTCTGCTCTTTTCGAGTTGGAATGAATACAAACAGCATTAAGAAAATACGTGTTAAATCTCTATATCTTCATTGTGCTAATATATTTCGTTTAATCGATCCCTGTTTGTTTTTGTCTGGCAAATTGTATATTCTTCCATTTTGTGGTCTTAGTTGATTTCTTTCTTGTAAGGTGATCCCTCCACAGAACCAGTAACTTATCTTGCCATGTAAACAAACGAATGTAACTCTATAGAGAGAGAGAGAGAGAGGTGGTGAGAGAAAGAGAGAGAGAGAGAGTGGGGAAGAGAGGCAGGGCTTTTGAATGTTCACGTGTGTGTGTGTGTGTACACACGTGTGTGTGTGTGCGCATGTGGGCATGGGTGTTTTCGTTGGCTGCTTGCCTGGTGTCTTGACGTGTTGGTCTGGATGTCGAGGCGCATCATTTTTTGGAGTTCCGTCATTTCGCAACACGGCGGCTGTGCTTTGCGTGGAATGCTCTTTCATTCTGGCCCACACTTTGGCAACCATTTCAAAAAGGGTTGAGGGGCTGTTTTTTGAGCAGGTGGAGAGTCTGGTATGAGTATAGATGAAAGGTGTTTAGACACATGTGTATACATGTTTATTTATTTAGACATGCCCCCCCACTACATTTACATATTCGTATATTATATATATATGGGTATGTGCCGAGATAGGGGAGCCCGGAATTGATTCGGTTTTCCTTTTTGGCCTCCCGTTAAACCAACCCTGAAGACGTCCCACAAATATATATATATATATATATATGTATATATATATATATATTTTGTTGGGGCCAGGGCTTCATCAGACTTGCCGCGGGCTTGCCCACCCTGAGTGGCGCCCCCTGCATAAGCGCGTCTCAGAAAAAACTTGCACATCCTGGGTTGCCCCAAGCACGAATTTCAAGATTCTGACGAAACTTGCTCTGGCAACCACATCCTGGGTTAAATTGAAATCTTCAACCCAGGATGTGCTAGTGCGCGCTTGCTCATCTTAGCACTTGATCTGGAGAAAGTGCATTCGCGTTCAGTTTGAGTGTGTGGATGTGACTTTACGATGTTGAATCGTGTTGGGCTCCAGCACTGGCTTCAAGATTGCAGGTGGAGTCCTGATAGTTTGGGCTGCAATTTAGCCGTGGTATCAATGTCTCAGACATTGCGCACATCTTGGGAGCATTCTGCGCAAACGTACGCCGCGGTTATGATCCATGCAACCGTTGGGGCAACATCAGTTGATGTGTCTCGACCTTGGCACTGCCGCACAGTACCATGTTAACGGGCATTGCTGCACTCACATCCACTGTCATTGGGATCAATGCCAGAGAAATCGGGCTCTACCCATTGCACTCGCGCAGCTTGATTCACCACTCGGGCATTTGTACCATGTCCTTAAGATATGCCATCGCAAGCTTGAAATGGTTGTCTCTTAATATCGTTTCTTTTGAGAAGGGACCCCAACAATGCCCGTGAAGGAATTGTTGCAGTTTCCTGGCAAATCATTGCTCTATTCTTTCAACTCTCTTCAAGCCTTGCCTTTCTTTGTCAAGCAGAAACCTTTTCACATCTGGCAGAAATCCTGAGTCGAGGCTGAAAACCCAAAACTTGAGTACCCCTGAAGCCTGGAGAGGTTGCATACATATATGTATATACATATATATATATATATATATACATATATATATAACACATATAGATAGATAGATAGATAGATAGATACATGTTTATGTGTATATATATATATATATCTCTCTCTCTCTCTCTCTTCGCAAGATTCTGCTGGGGTCCTCCCAACCGGGCCCCTCCCTCGAACCCCCGGGCCCCCGGTCACTGCTTCAGTCGGGTCCCCCGGCGATGGCCATGGCCCCGTTCTCGTCCTCCCAGGCCTCGAAGTCCTCCATGCACATGGGACCTCGCCGGTCGATCCGCGAGCGGGTCGCGGGTCGAGCGCGGTGGCAGGAGAGACGGGAGGGAGACATGGGACGAGTTAAACCATAGAGGCGGTTTCCTGAAAGGGCGCCACAGCCTGGGTTCATTCCCACCTTCCCTGAGCAAGGGAAATGGAACCCCGATTCTCTTCCACCGAATCTACCCGATCGCAAATCATGTTAAAGGAGTTCCCCTTTAGACTTCCAGCAATTGGGAGATGCAGGGAAGGAGAAATGGAACCCTGATTTAAACCATACAGGTGGTTTCCTTTAAGGGCAAAAAAGCCCGAGAGGTGAGTTGGTCAATGAAAATCCTTCGGCCCAAATCCTGCCAAAAAACCACCCCAATAGGGCGGGTCACATAAGAGGGGTCACTTAAGACGGGGGACTTAATCCAAAAACAAGAGGGGTCCACTGAAATGACGGTTGGCGTCCTTTCGTCTTCAAAACAATTTGCATTGGTAGGCCTGGAAGATCTATCTCCTCAACCTGTCGGGTGCTAGGTGGGAACAAGCAACCTGGTGGATGGGACAGTTTGCCAAGTGAAGGGAGTTCTTGTACGTCCCCTTCAACCCCTTCCAACAAAAAAAAGGAAGGGACATGATTCAGTTCTCAAAATGGATTCGGACCCCTCTTTCTTTTGGCTTGCTTTTAAGTAAGGGAAACCATAAAGAAACCAAGCGTCTTAAGGACCATCTGAAGGACCTCAAACAATTGCGTGGATGAACGTGAAAAGGAACATGAGGTGGCATGCCCCTGCGACATGCCGCCATTCACCAATTGTATGTCCGTCTCGTACTGTGGATGGACCATCCACCAAGCGCACCAGATCTGGAAACTTCATGAGCACTGATTGATGAACAACCCGAACGGACGGCGAAAGGAATCCGGGCATTTGGGGCACCAAGAAAACACAGAACCAATGCGCCAAGAGGGGTCCCGTTGCGAGCTGCGCACACCTTAGGAACAAAACGTGTCAAAAACATTTGGTCCTGTTGGTTTCCTTTCAGCCAACCCCCGAAAAGGCTTCCGCGCTTCAAACAACACACACCGACGTCACCCCCCAAAAAAGGCGACCCCCCCAAACCAAAAGGGCGCCCCCCTTTAGACCAGGGTACCGCTTTCATGGCTGACCTTGGTGCCCAGAAAGACCTCACAGAGCTTCGGCCTTGCCGCTTTTGGCACCCCGGCAGCTTTCGGGATGAGGGCTACCGCGGAAGAGGCCTTGCGGGGCGGGGGCCTTTGGTCAGTTTCCGGGGACTTTACTCACTTGGCTAGTGACCAGCCCCAAAAGAGTGTACATTTTTTGGGCCACCACTAAAACAAAGGGAGAGCCACCAAGCAAAAAAGTGTAGAGTGTGTCCACTCACTGACAAACTCAAATCTGACTGCCCCATATTTGGCCTACCCTAAAATTAGAAGAGGCCCAGTTTCGGGGGCACAAGCCCGCACTGCAAATGAGGATCGCCTCTGAAGTGCATTGCTTGAGCCGCATGACCCCGTCCCAAATCAGGCGCCCTCCTGGCTGGCCGATGCGCAAAGGCGGAGCCATCATGAAAGGCCTGACTGGGCGAAGGCTGCTGCAAGAACAACTCGATCAGGATGAAGCTGGGGACTCGGGACCGGCCCTTCTGCCGGGCGCCTCATGCGCCTCACCGTCGACTCCTGGCAGATGTGTAGGGCGAATGACGCCCAAGGTGCCTGTCCCTGACCGCCATGGCGAACCGGAGTTTGCCTTCGATCGCCACCGTGAACTGGTCGCATTTGCAAGGCTTGCAAGGCAAGCCAGCTGAGCCTACAAATTGTTGGCTGACATGCTTGCAAGGGCCGAGAGCTCTTCAGGCAGCAAAACTGGCTTCTGGATTTTCACAAAAATACAAAGTGACGAGCTGAGGGTAAGGCCTTCAATCACGTAGCGTGACTCTTTCGTATCCGATAAGCCCGCAAAACCGAGAAAGGCTGCGAATTGCAGACAAAGCTCTCTGTACTCTTTTTCTTCAAAGTCTGCGTCAAAACCAGCCCCCCCCAAAGGATTTTCGGTATCCCTTGGGTTCCTTTTCTCATTTCGTTTTGAGGCAAGTTGCGAGCCAGGGAAGACCAAGAAATTGTCATGTTTGTGATTGGTTAAGTTGCAATATTTCGGCAATCGCGCGCCTTGCCAATACTCAGTCCAAAGTTCCCCTGACAATCCCTATTCTTGCGCCTGCCATTTGTCGCTGGGTCGGAGATGAACCAAACGATGTTCGGTTTCTGTTGCATGACTCGGCTGCAAACTAATGCGGCAGCGATTCCCTCCTCTTCGAGACGGAAGAAGCCAGGGCTTTCAACGTGCCTAAAGGATACCACTTGGTGGTGCGACAAAATGGCATGAGTCCTTTTGGCGCAAATAACTGGAGGGGAAGGACGGTGTTTCCATACAAAGAACCCTGGATTGATCTTACAAATTCTCGAGCATGGGATCATGCTACTTCAATTCGATTTGACCGACTGCCGGAAACCACAGCTTTCACTGATGGGATGTGGCCATGGGTCAAAACCCCATACCCCGAGTGAACATCCCAATCCCCACTAAAATAGGTTCGAAAATGGGTGGTGCACCTATCCCAAAAATGGGATCCCATTGGCTTTGACCCACAGCCATGTTCTGTCGTTCCTGCTGAGAATGGGAATGCGTCTCAGCACCTCTCTCTCCAACAATCGGAGACCTTCAGAGTGACGTCAGAGGAAGCTGAAATACTGTGGATGGACAAATCCTGCACCACCTAAGAAACCCTGGAATGAGGATTCCCCTGCAAATACCAAAAGATAGTTGCTTCACATGGTTTCCAAGTGGTGCAGGATTTTGTCCAGCTACAGTATGGCGCCCCTTAACCCGAACCGTGGGCTCGAGGAGCTCGAGGAGCTCGATACATTCGGTTTTTTTGTCTCAAAACCCCCCACCCCCCCCCTCGAAATTGGCGGTGGTCTGCGGCTTCCCACTGTAAACTACCCCAAAAAAAGCGTACCCTACAAAACAGAGTTGGGAGCTGGAGCCCAGAAGAACGGGACCTGAAAAGCGGAGTACTTTGAGTACCTTTGCGACAACCCCCTGAAATGACTATCAGACAACGTGCCATGCCCGGGTTCAACATGTGTGGATTTCCGGTATGTATTGAATCAACGGCACCTCGATTCGTTGAGAGGGGTTCCTTGCAGCCGCCGTTGTGTTTCCAATGCTTCTGTGATACCACTGGTAGACCTTCCCCAATGACTATGTCTTTACTTCAAGGGTGGGTTTTTGCTGCCAAAACAACTCCCCCCCCCAAAAAAAAAAGAAAAAGACACGACCCCTCCCCCGCCCCCGTTTCCATACAGCGCCCCTTCTCCATGGGCCCCCCGGCTCTCTGCGAATCGCACGCGCGGAAGTCGGTCCTTGGCTCCAGGCTGAAAAGCGCAAAGGTTGAGGTACGGTTTGCTTAGTGGTGCTTCGTGTTGTTTTCTTTTATTTTGTTGCTTGTTTCTTTCTTTAAAAAAAAAAAAGAGCTGCTAGTTGTTTTGTTGTGCTTTGCTCTTGTTACGTTTGGCCTTTGCTGTGTTTGCTTTGTTTTGCGTTGACCGCCATTTTGGGCGGGGAGCCCTGGAACAGGGCAAAGCCTTATGGGGAATTCCACGTTGATTTGACAAAAGCAAAAACAAAACGAGCAAACCACAACACAAACAACATACAACAAAATCATCGCAAAACCAAAAGACAGAATACAACAAAACAAAACAAAAATGCCTTATCTGATCGACGGAAGACCTGACGCCATCCATTCCCGGCCAACCAACCAACCAACCAACCAACCAACCAACCAACCAACCAACCAGCCAACCAACCAACCAACCAACCAACCAACCAACCAACAAACCAACCAACACCAAAAAAAACAAATATCACGGAACAACTCAAAACAACTAACCTAATGTTTTAAGCAAAACAAAACAAAACAAAACAAAAAAAGACACCGCAAGGCATAGCAACACCGAGCAACGCGACCTTCCTCTGGCGCCGAGCCGCCAACAGTTCCGCCAGACGCTGTGCCTCCGCATGTGGCCCCACCTGCTTCGCCAGCTCCGTGATGGAGGCGTGCAGCTGCCTCCGGAAATGTGGCTGTGGGTCAAAAATAGGGTAGCCCCAAAATGGAACCCTGGAACATGGAAACATGGACTAAAACCTGCGGTCCCCTGGTGGTTTAATTTTGACCCATGCCCATGTTTCGGCGAGCGAAAAGATCGGAAACCAGCGAGCTGGATGCAAAGCATCCAAAAGGAAAGCCGACCACTTCGGGGGGGGGGGACTTGGGGGGGTCCGTTCGATTTTCCCAGGTTCTGGCTGCTTCCCGGAGTTGGCGACAGGCAAACAATGCTTGAGCAAACAAGAGCGTGCCGGTGGCCAGCGTGAAGCCACCCTCGCTTGGATAGGGCTCCGCCTGCCGACCACTTGGCCCTTGCCTGAAGAAAACAGCCGCTTGACGTAGACCCGGGCTCTCAACACGGCCAGGATCACCTCCTCGAGGACTCACCTCCTCGTCGAGGACTGCTTGCCCCTCCGGGGCGAGGCTGATGCCACATATCCCGCGACCCTTGGGAAGCCAGGGGAATGAAGTTCAAACTCCGACGCTCCGAGCTCAGGACGAGACCTGGGGTTGACATCACGCCTTGACTTGTTCTTCGATGGCTTAGGGCCGATCAATCATTAGAGTGGGCTGGGATACTGTTCAACCAAAGAGGGATCAAGAGGGTTTTGGGGGAATGAAGGGGAAGGGGGGCCCGGAAAGAACACACTGGATGTCCCGGAGAACAATCAAGAAAAATGTCCCTAAATGAATAAGAAAGATGGAATGAAATATAGCTCTTTAAAACTTTGACGCAACTCACGCAGCTATGAAAACAAAGGATATTGGAAACAGCTCTAGAAAGGAATAGAAGCAGATCTAACAAAAGGAAGCTAAGAAATAGCTCTAGAACAACTGCGAAATGAAAATAGCTCAAACAAACGAGAACTTTTCTCTGGACCAAATAAGAAATGTGGAAAAGTAAACACACCCAAATGGCCCAAAGAACGAAGGACATGCACCTAACACGTGCAAGGTGTCCTTCATGTTCAAACAAGCTCTGGGGATGGGTCACCTTTGGACACGCAACATTGTTTCTGCTGCTGGGGGTGTGGTCGGGATCATAAGCTGGGGTTGGGTGCCAGGGCTGGATGTGTGCTAGCCTTGATTCTGGCTTGGCTTGGGCTCGAGTTGGGCTTGGCTGCATCGCTCCGGTTGTACACAGAACATTTATTCAATGCCTCGCTTGATGTGCTCGAGGGGGTCTTATGAAAGGGGAATAAGCCAAGGACCAAATTCACTATTCTGCCGCCACGCAGTGCGGGTCAACGCCAGCCTAAATTGAAGAACCCAAAAACAGGGTGCCTCCGTCATTGCTCACCCTCCGGTCAGGTCCAGTCACGTCGCCATCCGTTCTGCCTCGCTTCTGAGGGCCCCCGCCGAGCTATCCTCTCCATGCTCCTGTCGGACACAGAATCGCTTGTGAAATCCCTACGAAGGCTTGATCAAATCCCCGCCGCAAAAGATGCGCGAGAAACACGAGGGATGCCCCTACCCCGAGTGGCCATGCGGAAAAACTTTATCCTTTTTGCGTAGCTAATTTTAAAGGTAAACCCGTCCAAACAGAAGGAGAAAAAAGAACCGCCCATCTCTTGGCACGCTTTTAAACTTGGCACGCAATGCATTGTTGTTTGGGGCGATCTTATTGGACAGTTCATGGGCCGCTGAGAAAGTGTCATGCATGCCCTGCATCGCCTGCATCACCAGCATGGTGTTCGGTCTTGGGTTGGCAGTGAATGTTTGTTTGGGCAGGGCTTCCTCCGCCTAGTCACGGGCTTTTGCCTCCTGGAGCAACGTATGCGGGCATCACAAACCCACCCTTGCACCACTGAGAACATGCGACACAACTGCGGAACAAGGAAGCTTACCCAAGATGATCCCTTCTTTGGGAATCCATGAATTGAGCGTTTTGCTTTCAGGGACCCAACACAAGTGATGGCGACCTCCTTGCACCATTCCTGAGGCCCTTGCGGGCGATCTGTTTGTTCTGTGGGAGCCCACCATGGCCAACCTCCCCAAACCCTGAGGGAAAAGAAGCACCTGTGAGTTGCCGGCTCTTTGCGGTTGTCCGCCGTACAGTCAACCACAGCAGAAACTTGCCCATCACTGGGCGAGTAAGCTTGTTCACTGGTCCCCGAGCTTTTATCTCCTGAACGAGGTTGCATGCACGACCTAAGCACTCTCATCGCGCTCCGAGAAAGGCCGATTCGATCGGGGGGGCTTGATGGATCTCAGTTTGCGTATTCAAAGTGCTGATCTTCTGACCTTGCACTTCCTGGGCATGGATTTGACATCTCTCTGATTGGCGCGGCGCAGCGCCGCGCTTGCTTTGCAAACCTTTGAACAACCGCAAAGAACTACAGTTTAGGCAAACAATTCAAAGGAAGGGTCGGCCCATGTCCAACCATTTCGAACAAGGTTTCATTTCCAAAAGTGATTTGCAATCGCTGATTTGCTTCCCCTAAGACCAACTACCAACGGCCCCTAGCTCTTGATGGCGATTCCCAAAAAGCTTAACTTTTGCAGCTTCTTGGCACGCTTGGCGGTCCAATCCTGCCTTGCTCCTCACCCCACATCTGCAGATGAGTGCAAAGAAGCTTTTTGCAGAGTGGCAAAATAACAATTTCCCCAAAAGTCAAAGGTTAAAGATCCCACCAATTGGCAACCAAGAAGTTTGCTGGAACACTTTCGCGTTCACCAGACGGGCCCGCCTTTCCGGAGGCAGCAGATAAGGATCCCAGGGGCTGTCGTCGGAAAAGGGCGCCTCATGCGCCTCGGAATCGCGCGAAAACTGGCTACGCCCAAATAACCCCCCCCCCCCCAAAACCAAAGAAAAAACGCCCTTGAGGTGTTGATTGGGTTTTTCTTTGACACTGATTTGTTTGATTTGCTTCTGCTGCGTCTTTTGCTTCATTTTCCGACTGGGGGGGGCGGGGGGCAACTGCTGGATGTCGACAACGTTGTGCAACACGGGACAGGCCTTTGGGTCCTCCCACGCCCCTTGTCCACCCCAGCCCAGTGGGGTGACCTCAACAAAAACCATGAACTTCTCGCGCATTGCATATCTGGCAACCGACCTGTCTGGATGGGAAATCGTCTGCGGATTGAACATGGAACCCAAGAACGGGGTTGCCCAACAGGCTCCTCGGCACAGAGATGGTTTTGGGGATTATGTCAGTATACCTGCTATGTTAAGAGGAACTTGTTGGGCAAAATGGCCGGAAATTATATTGAAGACACCATAGATGCTAATATCCTTTCAACATGGCCGAAATCCGCGCGTCCAGCCGGGCCGTAGCAGAAACTTGGGCGTCTTTAGGCTGTTGCTCCCATGAAGCGCCGAGCCCACTAGGGCCTCCGGCTTCAGGATCTTCATCCTGTCGCAAAGCAGCATGGGTCTGTCTCACAATACAGGAGCACCCAAACTGGGTCCGAGTCCTTCGGTTGAATTCCAAAACAAGGTGCCATCGAAGTCACACCCGCATGGCTGAGTGGCAAAACCAGTTCGACCCTGTCGCGCGGGCAACTTAAACAATCGGACATCCCTTGCTGGCAAGTGAAGGGCGTACCCAGTTTGGAGACCACCCTATTAATACACTGGGGTTGATTAATATGGGGTCAACATTAAGCCACGCCTGATCTACATGATACTGGAGCGGGATTGGTTTTAATTGGGGGGGGCACCCCATACAACCTTCCCGGAATTATACACTGGGGTTGATTAATATGGGGTCAACATTAAGCCACGCCTGATCTACATGATACTGGAGCGGGATTGATTTAAATAGGGGGGGGGGGGGGGGAATTGAGGAAATCCCAGTTGCAGGCCACTTAGATTCTTAGATAAAGGCTTTGGCTTTGTCTCAAAAATGATCGAACCATGGGACCCTCAAAGTGACTGGCAACCCCCCGTGGAGTCCCTTCAAACCCTCCAGAAAGAGGCCACACACCCATATGGGAATGTGTCCTAGGGGATGGCGGGTTGCTTGTTATTGCTGCCCCTTTAAATCAACCTGAAAAGGGGGCCCTCAAAAAACGCGCACACACACACACAAACATATCACATATCTCACCAGTCACGGAGCTGTGGGTATGGCGAGATGGCCAGCGAGACTTTGAAGAGAAGATGGCCGCCGCCCAAGAAAAAGATTGGCCCCCAAATGGTGGATTTCCCGCGGGGTACCAAAGAACCCGTCCATTTGTGCTGCTCTTTTGAGTCAAAGGTACCCTTTTGGGTTGCCGTGGCGAACCAAAGGGAAAACCGGCATTTGAGGGTTCGCCAATTTAAGACAACCCCACATGCATGTTGTTGTTTAGGCAAACCAACAAATATGTTCATGTCCCTCCCAAACCCGCAGATACAATCCAGCAGAAACCCTCTTTCAGGGTAGTTTTGCGAAGGCACGCCTATTCCTATGCTCACTTCCTGAGTGGATGGCCTAAAGAAAGTCCGAACTTGTTGTTTACCACTCAAACGGTCTTAACAAAAAGTTTCAAGGCCAGGAACTCAAGCCACCCGGAGGCTTCCGCCCCGCTCGCCTGCGCCGAGCCGTCAAAGTCCGACTCGCCGAAGAGGTCGTCTAGCCGGTCGAGTGCTTCGCGCTTGGAGCGAACGTCGTCACTACGTAGCTTCTCTACTCAGATGCCCAGCGGCCATGGGAGAAAAGCGCATCCTGGTTTGGTGGGTTGAGTTTAAAGGGCAACTGAGTCATACTCAAAACCCGGTATCAACATGGTCTACCCCAGAACCATGCAAAGAATCTAGAAGGCGGCCGCTGCTAATTATGGTTGGGATTGTCCCTTAGGGTTTTGATTGTGGCTCAACTGAGTCTAAGTGCATTTTGGCAATTTGGAACATGGTCGTGTCGAAGGGACACCGGGGCCATCCACTGGCTTCCCTGAGAGAGCGAGAGCAGTGGACGACGATAATGACAAAAATGATGATGACCCCGATGATGATAATGATGATGATGATGATGAGGAGGAGGAGGAGGAGGAGGAGGATGAGGATGCGGATGATGATGAGGATGAGGATGATGATGAGGATGATGATGATGAGGAGGAGGAGGACGACGACGACGACGATCTGCTTTCGTGAAATTCCAACACACAAATTACTGAATTACCGACCACCAAAATCGTCCCATCCGGACAAAAAGGCTGCAACCGCTTAGCAAATGTGGGGGAATTGCAACAACACTGGCTGGTTACGTTGAGAATCACAACAGAGACCTGTCAAGACACGGCTCCGTGCGGAGCCCTAGTCTGCGCACAATCTCCCCCCCTTTCCAGCCCACCCTAAAGCATTGAAATAGAAGGCAACACCAAACCTTTGCCATTTCATGGGGTCTACAGTCTGATCATTCCACATGCCTGTTGCTTCTCCACAGAAAAACAAGCTGGTTGATATTCTGCATGGCCCGGCAAAAAGAACACGGGGTGCACATAACCCCCACCTGAACCCCTTGCACCATGGAAAAGGCCCGGGCCGAAAGGCGATGGACTTCTTCTCTGGCGGTCCTGGTGCCTGGCATTGGAACGCAGAGGGTCGAACATAGGTTCGATTTCTTGCCCCTTTTTTGTCCACTTAAACATCACCCCCGAAAGGAAACTCGTGGCGAAATGACTCTAAGGCGATGAACAGCGGAAGCACAAGGACCCCTGCTGTGCCGCCTATGTCCCAAAACAGGGTCAGCATTGCATCACACAGAGCCAAGCCGGGGTTAAGCGCGCGCTTGGATCCTCAAAGAAGCCCATCAAAACCGGGTCCGGAAGCAAAACCAGGCTTCTTCCGGAGGGCAACTTGGAAGGGCAACTTCCCACGCAGGCCGCAGGGCACCTGCCACATATACTCCTCGGGAACAGTGGTGATTCTAGGGCTTGATTCCTTTCCCCATCCTTTTCAGCGATTCTTTTCAAACGCCAGGCATTTGTCTGATGTCTGGTGGTTCTCCGGACAGATTCGGATCTCTGGTTCAAAATAGTTGGACGTTGTTCCTATGCCTTACCCTTGAGAACTGAATGCATCCTCATCCCCCCCCCCCAATTTTTGTTGAAACCCACCTTCCGACCCATCATCCCTCACTGCGCGCTTCCACTGAGAACCAAACCCTTGGATCGGCTCCCCGGGACTCGCGCGCTGCAAGATCCAAGCAAACATTACCGGATTCGAATCCTTGCGAATTGCAATCCCAAGCTCGGGCCGGGTTTGAGCGTGTCGAAATCGCAGCTTGCTTCGAAGGCTCCATGGCCTGACGATAACTTGCCCGAGTTGCTCCGGGGTCGAAACCGACGTGTAGGTGTGGTGTCTTGCAAGGCGGGCCAACGTGAAACCCCATAGTCACAACCTCGCATAGTGGTGTCTTTTTTGAGGCTACCCTTTGGAGTTAGTTTACAGGGAGCAGCGATTTTAAGACCCACCCAAAGCTTGCGCATCAGGCGAGGGGCACGTTTGTTTTACTGAGTCACCCATGGGGGGGGGTTCAAAAAATGGAGGACCTCGCCGTACTTCCAGAGTGCCACGTCCCCCAACCGGGTGCTGGACCGACACACGTCAAACGCACGGCGGCCCGAGCCTCCGCAGCCAGTCGGCGAACTGCCTGAGCTCCCCCTGAGCGAGCTGGAGCTGGGTCTCTGGTGTTCCCAACGGAAAGCCCTGCGACCCCGCGATGTCCGTGGAAATGGCCGCGGGTCCTTCAAAAACCAGTCCAATGCGCGCACCCTTAATGCTTTGGGCGATGTGGATCCTGGATTGCGTGAGCGGAATGATTTGAGGCGGCAAAGGAAGATGACCCTGCTCGGTTGCTTCCCGGCGCGCAGTCTCAAGAGGGAACCGACAAGAAATCGCCGCCATCTAGAGGCAGGCTGGGCTTTCGCAACGGACCCCTTTTCAGGTCGCGTTTACAGCACCCCAACTGATTGTTATGGGAGCGGAATAAACTGTGAATGGAAACCGTGGAAACTGTGGAAACCGTGGAAGTGAAGACCGTGAAAAAAGCGGAAACCAGAGGTCCCAAACTCAATTTGGAACACACCCAGCCCCTCTATACATCCGAAAAGAACAGAAGAACCCTTGCGATTGAGCTGCACACAGGGTCCTGCGTCCGCCAGAATCTGGCGTGGTTCTGTGCCGACCCTTGTTTAGTTGGGTGAGAGTAGATGGCACAAACGCATCATGTTTGGCTTGGCCCCGGACTATGCTCAACACAAAGGGAACTGTGCCAGCTATACACTTTCACCCTGGTGCAAACAGGTTAAGACCACTTCTGATTGAACACCCTTCTTTTGGTTTCCAGTGGGCTTGCAGAGCTTGAACCTGGCAATGCCCAGTTCCAAGCTCCAACAGAACTTGAAAGGCGCCAGGTCCGCATTGAGCCAGTACATCTGGTCAGCCGCAGCCCACAACCATGGCCAGCCACGACCACCATACCCCCAGCCCCCCCCAACAACGCCGCAGCCAAAACTGAAACGACCAATGCCACTGCCCACCGCCGCCGGCACCTCCTTTGTGAAACCACACTGACACAAAAGAACGAGTAAAGAATCAAATCAAAATGCATACCGACCAACCGACCAACCTACAAACAAACAACAAAACAAACAAACAACAAATACACAAAGGAAGGACAAAAGACAGAAACCGGCAAAGAACGAAACTGACAAACAAAGAGTGCGAGAATGAGTGAGTCGGGATCCCGATGGCAACCTCCAAGCGCTGATAGCAAGCTGGGATCTCCCAGCATCTACCGCCCTGTGACCCCATCCCAGAAGCAGCTGGTGAGTGGCAACTCTTCGAAACACATTTGGGTATGGCTTGTCAACACAGAGAGGCGCGATGTTGCCGTAATTCCTGCTGATTTCCCTTTTTGAGGCAACCACACAAATGGTACAAGTGCCCTCGACACACACACACACACACACACGTTGGTCCTTCTAAGCAAACCGCACATGCGGGTCCGGTCAACCCGCCTGGGGCTGTTCGATGCTCAGGGCCTCAGGGCAGCTTTCAAAACAATGGCTCCAGAAGGTGGCGAAAGTCCTCTGTATGACATGGGTGTGTCTGCTTTTTAGGCGACCCCCACAAAACTCATGTGGGTTTTCGTGCTGGTTTCTCTTTTCATTTCGGGCCATAGCGACAGAGTGATAGCCAAGTGGGAACAACGTGGGAAGCTCCAATTGGCATCTTGGCGACATCCCCCCACCCTCCACCCCACCCCGCCCACCCCACATTAACCACCACGGCGACACCCTTTGCAAGGGACCAACTTCTAGAAAGGAGACAATCTGATTTCATGTCGGCGCTGACGAAGTGCGTCCCTTTGGGTTCCGCGTCAGCAGTTTCTTTGGAGCTGGTTCACATACATGGGCCCAAATTGAGAGAGGCAACAGGCTTCCCCGCAAAGACATTTGATGGAGTTGCTTGAAACCATTCTTGCCAGGAATTCGCCAAGACAGGTGCTGAGCAGATGTTTGATCGGTGAAGAGTCTGCATGTGCTCGACAGAGGCTGATAAGCACTGCGTCAGCTACAAAAGGAATGGTGGAGGTAACGAAGAACATTTGCAGAAGCGTCGCGTCGTGCCTGTTTCTAAGGGTCATGACGGGCAAAAAAATGAGCCAGCCTGGCCTGCTACATTAGAGGGAAGGCGACGCAAAAACAAAAGATCTGTTTTTGTCAATGGGCGAGACACCCGTCCACAAACAGACTGACGGAACGAGATGGATGGACGGACACACGCACAGACGGATAGATAGACAGACAGACAAACAGTCAGACAAACGGACAGCGAACAGACGGGCATACAGACAGCCGGAACGAAAAGATAGACGCAAGACACGGACATTCACAGACAAACACAGAGACAGGGACAGAGACAGAGCTAGAGACAGAAAAGGACAGAGACAGACAGAGAGAGAGAGAGAGAGGCATTTCGAAAAAGTAAAGACGAAAGAACGAAAGAAAGAAAGAAAGAAAGAAAGAAATAAAGAAAGAAAGAAAGAAATAAAGAAAGAAAGAAAGAAAGAAAGAAAGGAAGGAAGGAAGGAAGGAAGAAAGAAAAAAGAAAAAGAAAAAAAGAAACAAGAAATACAGAATCCTAACAAACAGCTAAACAAAGCAAGCTAAACAAACCCCTGGCCACCTCTTCCCTCGGGCCCCAAGCCCACCGGCAGTACCCCGGCTCGTTCCGCGCTACCTCCGGTGCCGCTGTGAGCCGCGGGTCGCCGCTTTTCTGAACGGGGGTCCGTTTGTTCTTGTACTTTCAAGGGCGAATGACCAATTCCCAACGGTTTTCGGCACTGCATCCGTAAGCCAGGGCTGCTAACCTTCTATTCAGCCTGCGTCCAGGGCTGAGGCATTGGTGTTCTCCACTCATGACGCAAATGTGGCTTTCGAGTAGCCCTACCACAGCAGTGATTTACGCCCTTGTTTGGTATTTAAGTGAAGGGAAACCTCCGAAAACAAGGAGGGGTGCCTCAGCTGACGGGGCGCCAATTGCCCTGGAAGGGTTGAACATTGATCATTTGCTCCCAAAGACACTGTAAGGAGAGGAAAACAAACCTTGCTATCATTGGGTGTCTCTCCTCTTTCAAGAAGAGCATGTGTTGTGTTCAAAAGTCGACGAAGCCAGGAATATGCCTGCATATACTCGTCGTGGTCAAAGCTCCCAGTTTGAATAACCGGCCCGAAGATCGAAAGAAGAACGACCATCCCCGTCAAAGTCTAGAGGTCCCTCGAGACCAATGGGTCACCCACTTCAGGTTGCAATTCTGGGCCAAGAGAACGAGTCCAGGGGCTCAAGTGCGGTGGGATCCCCACTCCTCGACCCTTCGTCCCGAAGCCACAATGAGTCTCATGATGCCCAAGGCTTTGGTCCAGGGATGTCGTCGGCTCAAGGGTTTGATCAGGTGGTTTGAGTTGGTTCGGAGGTTCAGGGTTGGCTTCCCGTTTACTCTCTACAAGAGCCAGGGGGTCAAATTCCGCAAACCGCCAATCCAATCCAAACCACCAATGCAGGGGTGCCTGATTCTAGGCAAATCAAATGAGGTTTCGAACGCCCAGTGCTTCATCCAAATGCTTCAAGTCCTCGTGCCTCGCGGTAGCGGCGGCCCATGTGCCGGCCAAAGTTCAACCTCCGAGCTAAGCCATGGGACGGCCACGGATGTCACCCCTGCTCCCAGAAACAAACCAAACAAACAAACAAACAAACAAACAAACAACCAACCAACCAACCAACCAACCAACCAACCAACCAACCAACCAACCAACCAACCAACCAACCAACCAACCGCTCCCTGGCAAAGGAAAAACACAAAAACAGAAACAAACCAAACACACAAACAAAACAGGCCAGCCTTGTGAAGCAAAACACCTCGCAAGCTGCATATCCTTCCCCTGGATCGGTTGACCATCTTTCCGGAAAAAGCCTCAGTTTTTTCCAACGATCCAAAAGGAAGGGCACCGATCGAAGCTCCTTGGCTTCTCGGGAGCAGAGTTCGCCCGTCTTTTCGTGGCGTTGAGCCGATCCAATGAAGGGAATCTGCAAGAGCACTCTCCACAGTTCCTACGTGCATCAACTCACAAGGGTCTTGATGGGTGCTCTGTCGCATCGGGGGCTCCTGGCACAGGCTGGAAACCGTGTCACCCGGCATAATATCGGGCAGAGAGCAGGGATCCGTGCGTGTCCCTTTCAAGCTCTCTTCGAAAGGAGAGAGATCTCAAAATGGCCCAGACTGGCGATGTTCTGATCCCCCCAAAAGCCAAAAGGGACAGCCCAATATGGCAGGATGCTTTCTGACATATTGAGCTGCTCAAGCAAGTTTCACCATTGAACCAGAAGCCGACTTGCTACCTTTCGGGTTGAAAAGGGGGATGTTCTCTTCCAGAGAGTCGCTTTGTCTAAATTGAGGCTGGACGCTTGAGCCAAAGCATGCTTCACGTCAACAATCATGGAAAACTTGTACTGACACTGGCCAGGAAGAGCGACTGTTTGCCGATTCAGCTGCAAAGTGCGTGATTGTTGGAGGTCAATTTTGACCTCTCATTCATGAGCCCACCAGTCATTGTGAATACTCCATTGTCCCAGGCGCCAACCTCCTGACCCAGTGGGTATAATGTCTCCTTTTGCAAAATCACATGGGTTCCACAAATGAATAGTGTAAACTCGCGAGAGGAACCCATCTATGTGCAATAAAACTGACCAAACAGAACACCTATTGGGAGGGTCCCTACAAGAAAGGGGCCACCAAGAATATATTTGCCCGACGAATGACTCGCTCGCCTGCGCTCCGAGCTTCGCCGGCGACGGCCTCGGACAAATCGTTTGGCTATTTGCGCAAGGCGCCAAGCAAAAATCAGAAGCCATAAGCCACACATGATCTACATGAGAAAACAGGTATGGAGAAGCGGGATTGGTTCCAAATGGGGGGAAACCCCTACAAAGTCACCTCTCCTGGCCTTGCAATGAAAACGTCAAAAGGCCGAGTCGCTCCAGACAACTGTGGAAGTTCGCGGTTGGCAGGTCGGTCGCTTGGTCGGTCGGTTGGAAGGTAGCTCTTGGGCAACCCGGCCAATGGCAGTGTCTGATAAATGCAGCCAAGCAGCAAACATGCATGGCAGGTGGTGCGAGTAGCAAGAAAGCAAGGGCAAAAAGACAGGAGCGCTGATCAGACCGCGCGAGAAGAAAGACAAGCCAAGGACGACAACCAAGGGCTCACGAGCGCCGGGAAAATCCCCCCATTCTTGCTGGCTGTGCACTCCAAAAAACATGGCAAGGCCGGCGACCAGCGCCAGGGCGATTGGGCAAAGATAGCTGTGGTGGGGGCAGACGGGCGGGTGGGCGCAGCACGAGCCCTGACAGTGACCGGTGGAGCCCCAGAGCGTCAGCTGCGGTTGGAGCCCCAGAGAGCAGCCCCTTGCCCAGGCCGTGAGGCGGCGGAACACAACAACCATGCAAGAACGACCAAGAGGCGACGGACACCCCAGGCGATATCGCTGTGGTAAGGTGAAGGGGGAGTAGGAGTAGCGGTGCTCGGTTCGGTCACCGTAGCCAGAACTGCAGGGCGCACGGGTGAGGAAATTCCTGCTTTCAATCATCCATTCTCTCTATGGTGCAAGCCGCAGCAAAAGGGAGCCTTGAATGGTCACAGAAGCAAGATATGAGCGGCTACATCAAACAATCTGGCTAAGGCGTGCGTTTTGTCAACTGGTCGCACACCTCGCAGGATACTTGCAAACGGATCTTGCCAACATGAAGCCGAAAGCCACCTGGGGTCCAACTCATTTTGACGCACAGCCCCGTATTGGGTTGCGGAGTTCTGAGATGTACCAATTTACCCTTCAAACATGGCATCAACCAAAGCGTCTGGCCGTGTAAATGCTTGAGGACCCCTGCAAACAACGAGTAAACCAACCAAAACATTGGCAAGCAACACCTCCATAGTTCTGCTCCACCCTCCAGCAACCCAGCAACCAACCAGAAACCCCTTGAACCCTCAAGATTGCTGAGACCTAGAAAGTCAAGGGAAACCAACGAAAATCCGCCTTGCGAAGCCTCGCTTCTTTGTCCATGAGTTCCCATTGAACATAGCAGCATCTCGCTGCCACCTCCAAAACATCCATTGGTCCAATGCTTCAAGTCTGTCCATGGAGAAGAATCCGATGGCTTGAGGAATCTAACTTGGAGAGTCCGGTTCAACCATCAGTCCAATATCATGTTGACGTCTTGAAGAATCCAAGGGGATTGTCTTGAGGGAACCCTTTTCGCGGCCCCATTTTCACAACCTTGGGACCTCCTCAACAGCCCTTCTTGAACCTTCCAATGGAGATGTAGATTCCCAACTCCATCGGGACGCCAAGTCCTGACCCTGTCCGGGGCTTCGGCGGGACCTCTCGCCTGCGCGCCGCACAAAAAGTGCCCCTTTTTGAATCTGGTGCCACCCTCCAGCGGGTTACTACATCGTTTTTTGGGGGGAAGGGGGGGGGGGTATCTTCCAAAACAGGCACAAGGCAACGTGCAGGAACTGACAAAGAAGACCCGACGTGGAAAGAAACGTCTTCAGGCTTCGGGCGTCCACTTCGTGAGGGAAACTGGGACTGGGGTGGAGGAGGCGGGGCTCAGAGATGAGAGATGGGTGACTGTCACCATTGGGAAGCGACCCCTCCAATGGTTTCAGAATTTCAGGTCGACCCCTCCATGGTTTCTTTTGGCTTCAAATTAAATGCCTACACGGGTCCATCGTGACACACAGCGATGTTCTAGACGCAATGCTGGAAACCTCAAACCACCCGACATGCCCCCCGCTGCCATCCAGAGCAGCTGGCAATATGCACCAAGCGCGGCTCCCCAAAGCCCGTGCCAGGCTGAACAAACAAAAAGGCAGGGCGTTCTCTGCACCACATGAAATAACTCACCCAACCACAGATCATTAAACGCATTCAACCCTGGCTCCAAAAGGTGGTGCTACTCAAAGGTACGAAAAGGCACATACGACCGACATGTGCTCACGGGCATCGCTTGGAACCTCGACATGTTACGTTGCGACTGCCACTCTTACCTGGCACAGAACATGCCTCTAGTGTCTGTTCGGGTGATTGCGCCAAGGCAATGACATATTCATCCGGACGGATTCATCCAACATGTCTTGCCAGACAGGCGAACAATGAAACCAAACAAATTGACTCAAGGAGCACAAGGACCGCTCCTGGTCTGAGTGAATAGTGAACGGATGGGAACAAACACCCCTGATCTGGGTGTTGCTCAAAAATCGGCATCTGTACCCCTAAAATGGCGCTGGTGTCAAAAGCAAACTGAAAGGGGCTCCACCATTTTGAGAAACTTCCATCTTTGCCTCGTGTGGCCGGCTCTTCCGAGACCAATCGAAGGGAACGGGCCAAGCACCCGGCGCGAGCGGCTGTTGTCTCCTAGAAGGCAGCGGCTTGAGCGTGCGTCTCAATCAAAACCGGGCGCTGAAGTGGTCTACCTACAACCATGTAAAGAAAAACCAGAGGACGGCTGCAACCATGTATGGTTGGGACTATCCCGTACTTGCCTTCAACATCCCGAGAGTTGATTGTGGCTCTTGTGGCTCCCCTCAACCAACAAAAAATCGGTCATCCAATTGGCACATCCAAAAAATCAGCACATAGTTTTGGGAAATGGCCTCTTGCTATGATACCATCTGGTGGGAGTCCCGCCCCTTTCTGGGTTTCATGCTATATTAATTTCAGGCGAGTAGACGTCAGCAAGTCGCGCCCCACCAACTGGTAGGTGTCCTTTAAGCTTTGCCTTTCATCCCTCAAGCGAATCAGCTCTGTGTAAAAGCAGCTGAATCCAGCCCTTTGCGTCGTCCTCTTGGCTTTTTTCAGGCACTTGTCTGCTCGAGTCATCCCGCTTTGACATATGGATGTATCTATGTTTGAGGATTGTGCTCAGGGCAACCCAAAGGAAACCATCCATTCTGGTGGGTTCCATATTTTGACACCAACCCATATCCCAATTGAACAGTACTCACGGTCCCCAAAATAACCCTGCGGGATAGGAAAGGGGTGAGGTTCTCTCCCGCCAAGCCATTCTTTTCGCACTCAACAGAGGCTTGGCCACACGGAAAAGGAATCTCTCCTTGTCACTGATGTCTAAACAAGGCGGGTTGCAGGAGCTGCAAAGGCTGAACTGAGTAGAAACTTCTGAGGCGGACCAAGGCCTGAGCAAACGACCCCTTGATAAGTGATTGATCAAAACCTATTTCTATCTGGGGGTGGGTGCTGGAATCCATACGTCTCCCTTTCTTCACACACAAAAAAAACAACGTGCCCTTTTTTCGAAGGAGAAGCAGAACGGCGCGATCGTGTTCTCTTGGCGCGGCCGGCGGCCGGCGGCCGGGCGCCCCCGCCATGCGGCATGCCGCGCACATCGTGCGCCAGCGCCGCGCGATTTCTCCGCGAGCTGAGCCCCCACGGCCGCGAGAGCTGCGAGCTGCGACTGGGGCAAATATGGCGGTGGGTCAACAATGGGTACCCAAAATGGAACTCTGGTACTGTAAATGAAAACAAGGACTAAACTTGCCGTTTCCTGGTGGTTTGATTTTGAGCCATACCCATACACGAGCTGCAAAGCTTGGTGCTCAGTAGCGGGAATCACCAGTTTGGGAATGAACCGGAGGATCTACAACTGAAAGGAAACTCCAAGGCGTGGTTCATTGCGGTCGTTCCCTCTTTCCCTGCTGAGAACCAGCAAGAAAGAAATGTGTTGGATCAATGTTGCACGTGTTCTCTCGGATTGGTTGACTATGTTGAAGATGTAAATGGTGAACATGTTGAAGATGTTGAACATTTGGTGGAACAGCCTGAAACAACATGAAATAAGAGATATGCACCACTCTTGGCCGAGCTTGTTGATTCTGCCAGGCGCTGTCAACCCAGCTTCAATCCTTGGTGCACATAGTTGCGAACGTTGCTGACACCTCAGCCTATGCTGCCAGCTGCTCAGTTGCTTACTTCCCGACCCCAGCCCCCGGTTCTGCGTGTTGACTCGCGGCATGCTCCATGGGCAAGATTGACAGGGTGTCCTAGCCTGGGACCTCCCCGTATGCCCTTAGTGGCAAACTGGAACAAGGGGTACTCAAAACTCTACGTTTTCAGGGATGTCCTTTCGGGTTCCCGCACCGAGCAACACATCGTCAGTTTGTGTTTTTTCAGATGCTCCCTTTGAGGGAATTCCTTTTTTGGAAAGCACCCGTGTCGATCTTCTTTGGAGCTGCAACGCAAGAAGCAAACTGCGCCATGGCTCTCTCAACATGACAGTCACACCTCTCTATCTCTTGCTCGTGCTGGTTGAGCAACGCCTGTGCCAATGCAATAAACACGACGAGTAAAGTGTTGGTCTCTACAGTACATGATTGGAGTCAGGCCCTGCCAAACAAGAAATCACTATTCATATTCTAGGTTGGCGTTCTGGCTTGCCAGTCACCAAGCATACCCCTACTCGAGCCCAGTGGGATCCGTGTCTGTGAAGCCAGGCGGTTCTGTTGCCTTTGTCAGGATCGCCGGCCGAGCGTCACGCAGCCGATCCTTGAATGCCCTCTTTTTGGCCATCACCGCTTGTAGAAACCGCCCCTTGACTGCGTCCCAAAACCCTTTGGCGTTCTAGCACGATGGCTTTGAAGGCTTAGGCATCAGCAGGATCTTCATAAGACCGGATAACCTACCGAAAATAAGAAGGATTGTGGGCGCTACTCTTTTGGCCTCGCTGGGCAAAACCTGCTGTGTCTGTTTGAGTTTCACCGCGACGCAAGGAGCTCCAAGCGGAGCTTGCCCTTTTGCCACCGCGAAGGCCCGATGTTTGGAACGAGAAACCAGCGCTCTTCAGCGCGTCTTCAGCGCGGTGCCTCAGGCCGCTGCACTTTTGGAAGCGGCGCGGAGCCGCATAAGACTAACTGCACGGGTCCGTGCGCGTGGAGAGCCCGAAGGGAAACAATGGGAAAGCAAGGATTGCCGGCAATTGGGAGGTGCTTGGGTGTGGAATCGCGGCAGGCATGAATGTCCACAGAACACCCCCAACGGTCTCCACTCGCAGGCACTCAGCTCGCACTCTTTGCCGCCTTCTCCTCCCTCTCCCGCGCAAGGCGCTCCTGAACGAAGCTCGAGTGCTTGAAGTTTCAAGCTTGGAGTTGCGGGCTGAGGGCGGGTCAGTAGTAGTTTGGGGCGGGATTGCCATGGGTGAGATTCAAAGTGCAAAAGGGAGAGTTTCTTGCTGCAGTTTCGGAGTGCCAATTGGTTTCTGTGGCCTCAGGTACAAGAGCAACTCTTGACTGCGAGGTTCAATTTTGTACCGTCGGCTGGCATCATTTTTAAGCTCTCAGAGTCACCCGCCAGGTGCCAGGGGAAACAACGCCAGTGTCGGTATCTCACCGTACAGCCAACAGAAACAGACAAAGTAATCGGCGCATCTCGGGTTGCTGCTGCCTCTTTCTTGGCTGGGAGCAACTGCAAAGGAAATTACGGCAAGAGCGAGGTGGATTCACACTGCCACTGTGGAAACAAGTGACGCATGGCCGCATGCTGATATCTGAAACCCTCCAGAAAATCCCATCTGAGTGATGCTTTGACGCAGCTGCTTCTCGCAAGCAGAATAAGCCAACCACTAGACTCGGTGTGAATAAGAGCTTCCGCTCTCCTGTCCCCTTGTCAACCCCAAAAAGGACAAACTTCTCCCTCCCCTGACCCCCCAACCCTAATACCCCCCCAACCTCTCCAAACCCCCCTGTACCCCACCACATTCAAGTGCATCCTCAAAGTGACCCTCCAAATGGAGGTTCAAACGGAAACAACCAGAAAAACATGAAAAATAAAAACTACTCTGCAGAATCCTCAAAATGCAACCACCCAACTGGACCCCACTCCCAGCCCCAAACCCTCGGCGAGCTCCGCATAGTCCCGCTTCATCTTCTCCCGCGTCTGGTCCCCCCGCTCACTCTGGCCACCGATGGCCTTCGCCTCGACGGCTGCATCGCTCTGCCGTGGTGGACAACCGAGGAAAAAAACGGGTTGTCGCAACCCACAAAATGGGCGGTGTTCATTATGTTTCCCTTGAAACCAACCCTAAAAAGGCTAAACAAAATTATCCCGGCAAGAGACCCCAAATAGTATTGCGTCCAACTTGACGACAGGTGGCCCAGAAGCATAGAAACACGTTAAATAAACACTGACGCCTCTCCCACCTGATGAGATCGTAAACACGTCGGTGCCCCTGCTCAAGCGTAGATTCTGATGAGCAAGCTCAGCATCATGCTTCACAATCTCTCCTGTCAACTTCTCGCGCGCGCGTGATGCTGTGGCTTGATGTTGCGCGCGAAGCTGTGCGTGATGTTGCGCGTGATGTTGCGCGAAATGCAGCGCATGATGCTGCGCATGATGTTCTGCAACCTCTCTTGCCAGATCTTTCATGTCCTCTGTTGAAAAACTCTCTTGTCCATATCTGTGAGCAGCTGCTGGCAATTTTAGCTGCGGAAGTGTACTTCGCATACTACCTGAACCGCGCGAGCGCGCTTCGCGCGCACGTTGCCATTTACGATTTTGCAGCCGGAGCTGCGGGAATGCACTTTATGTACAACTTTGGGCTTAAGAGTTGCGAGCCTCGTGCCATGGGAACGCACTTCGTACACTCATACAAAGTTGCAACTTTGCAGCTGGAGCTCCGGAGCGCACTTCGCGTAGGACTTTTGCACTAAAAACCTGCCAATTTCGAGCTGGAACTGCGGGAGTGCACTTCCAGCACTACTCTTGTACTTAAAATTGCGATTTTGCAAGCCGGAGCGCTGGAGTGCTCTTCGCGTACTACTTTTGCACTTGAAACTTGCGAGCTTTCAGCCGGAGTTGAGGGAATGTCCTCCGCAAACTACTTTTGTACCTAGAAGTTGCGAATTTCGAGCCGGAGCTGCGGGAGTGCACTTCGCGTACTACTTTTGAACTTAAAACTGCGATTTTGCAGCCGGAGCTCCGGAGTGCTCTTCGCGTACTACTTTTGTACTTAAAAAGCGCGATTTTATAGCGCGCTTCCCGTACTACTTTTTGCACCTAGAAGTTGCGAACTTCAAGCCGCAGATGCGGGAGCGCACTTTGCGCGCCAGCTTTGTACGTAAACGTTGCCTGCGCAGCCGGAGATGCGGGAGGGCACGTCGCACCTCGCGCGGTGCCACAGCGAGAGCGCTTCGACACGCACGATCTCCGCAGAGGGTTCGAGCTCAAGACAAATTCGCACGGCGCCACAGCGAGAGCGCTTCGACACGCACGATCTCCGCAGAGGGTTCGCCAAGGTCAAGACAAATTCGCACGGCGCCACAGCGAGAGCGCTTCGACACGCACGATCTCCGCAGAGGGTTCGCCGAGCTCAAGACAAATTCGCACGGCGCCACAGCCAGAGCGCTTCGACACGCACGATCTCCGCAGAGGGTTCGCCAAGGTCAAGACAAATTCGCACGGCGCCACAGCGAGAGCGCTTCGACACGCACGATCTCCGCAGAGGGTTCGCTGAGCTCAAGACAAATTCGCACGGCGCCACAGCGAGAGCGCTTCGACACGCACGATCTCCGCAGAGGGTTCGCCGAGCTCAAGACAAATTCGCACGGCGCCACAGCCAGAGCGCTTCGACACGCACGATCTCCGCAGAGGGTTCGCTGAGCTCAAGACAAATTCGCACGGCGCCACAGCCAGAGCGCTTCGACACGCACGATCTCCGCAGAGGGTTCGCTGAGCTCAAGACAAATTGGCACGGCGCCACAGCCAGAGCGAATCGACGCGCACAATCTCCGCAGACGGCTCGCCGAGCTCAACAAAAATTCGCACGGCGCCACAGCCAGAGCGCTTCGACACGCACGATCTCCGCAGAGGGTTCGCTGAGCTCAAGACAAATTCGCACGGCGCCACAGCCAGAGCGCTTCGACACACACGATCTCTGCAGAGGGTTCGCCGAGCTCAAGACAAATTCGCACGGCGCCACAGCCAGAGCGCTTCGACACGCACGATCTCCGCAGAGGGTTCGCCGAGCTCAAGACAAATTCGCACGGCGCCACAGCCAGAGCGCTTCGACACGCACGATCTCCGCAGAGGGTTCGCCGAGTGCAAGACAATTTCGCACGGCGCCACAGCCACAGCGCTTCGACACGCACGATCTCCGCAAAGGGTTCACTTTCGGTCTGCAACGCTTGCAAATGAGCGAAACGCTGCGCCTGCCACGAAATTCACAGACCCTGTTTCCAAAAATGCTGCGCCTGCCACGCATCATTTGCATCAGCGCAAAACATGCTGCGCCCACCACGAAAAATACACGGCAGTCTCACAGAATGCTGCGCTGGCCATGGAATTCTGCGGCAACACACAAATCCGAAGATCGGCGCGGCGCCACAGCGAGAGCGCAGTTTTGAAGAAAGGTCCGTTTCGTGCGAAGCTGTCGCACGCGAGACAACTTTTTGCGACAACTGCCATGGTTTTAGAGCTCCGATTGTCCAAGCGTGGTAGCCTGACCCGACAAGAAGATATCACCGCGTGGCGGCCCTGCCATCAAAAAACGCACTTTGGGTCTCAAAAAATCGCGTTTGGCGCGAGGCTTCCTCAAAAAACACACCCCGCGTCGCAGCGCGCACCTCCCAACTGTTGCCCCTCCCAGCAAAAGCTGAAAAGTGCGAACGGCACCACAGCGAGACAGCTGACACCTCCATTTCGTGCGAGACTGTCGCATCGAAGACAACTTTTTACGCACAGGGCCAGCAATTTGAGCCGACACCTCGATCTACACCAGGCCTTAACTCTTACCGTAAGAACCCCTTACTGTAAACACTATTTGGGGAAATATGCTCGCTTGAAACCAACCCCAGAAAGGCTAAAAACAGTGCCCCAACGTCGGCTCGGAAATCATGTTGCTCTCACATGTTGCTAATCACTATTCCCCTCATGTTGCTATAAAATAATCCCTGGCGTGGAAAATCGGCTGACAGGAAATCGCTGGGAAACGAACCAAAATTCTACCTTCAAAGTCACCAAAGTGGTAGCTGAAAGGGGAACACGCGTGAGTCTCAACCCAAGGTCGTGTCTATTTCTGCCTGCGAACAACCCTCCATTTTGCTACACATTGGCTTTCTCTCAGTTGGCCGTCAGTCAGAAACCAACGTGAAGCCGCCAAACGCTGTCTCAAAAGAGAACACCACAACTCGAATGGTTACATGACAAAATTAATGCCCCTCCGAATGGCTGCGTTGCCGGTTCATGTTGGCTTTGCGTGTTCAAATGACTGAAAAGGAGGGTCGCGGTTTGGCACCTTCTCCTTCACCACACTATCTAGGAAGCCAACAGGAAACTGAACAGAGAACATTGGACGACACATGCCAATCCGACTGCCATCATTTAACCAGGGTCTTTTTCTAGGATGTCTGATTCACTGTGTTCTCAAAAAACATCCTTGAGGTTTCTCATAATCTGTTTTAGCCACCACTTTCCCCGCCAACTCACATGGGTGCCGGTACCCTCTTCGGTGTTGACACCGCCCAAGTGAAGCTTCCAAGCGCCTTTTTGTCCAACAACGAGAACCCCTTTCGGCTGTTGGTTTACGGAAACTCGCCAGGACTTCCAGAACCGAATCCCTTCTGGATGTTGCTCTGCTTTCCGGGTTTTCCCCCGTGATTTTCCAGGGAAACCACCAGGAAACCAACATTTTTCAGGGAAACCACGAAAGAAAAAAAAAACAAAAACGGGGCATCCGTCTCTCCGACGTCTCTCACGGTCGGAAGCGCTTCCGCCTGAGTGGTGGCGTTCTCATTGGCGCTGCCCAGCGCGACGGTGGCGAAGAAGGGGGGCACCCAGATGAACCTCGGCGCCGGGCTTCTTGGCTTTCGGGGGCTCAGCCCAACGATTTGTCGCGACCCGAAAGGCGATCCTTAAGACCACCAAAAAGGGGTTCAACCAAAACGGTTCCCCAATCAAAAGCCGCTGTGTAAAACAACCAAAAAGGGACGCTTGGTTTGGAGTTCACATTGTCCAAACCCCAAAGCTGCTGTTTAGAAGAACCGAAAAGGGAACGCCCCAGTGTTTTTTTCAAGCCAGAAGGTGATGTTGAAACCCACCAAAAAGGGGTTCAACCCAAACATTGTCCGAACCCCAAAGCTGCTGTTTAGAAGAACCAAAAAGGGAACGCGCCATTGTTTTTCCAAGCCAGAAGGTGATGTTGAAACCCACCAAAAAGGGGTTCAACCCAAACATTGTCCGAACCCCAAAGCTGCTGTTTAGAAGAGAACGCCCCATTGTTTTTTCCAAGCCAGAAGGTGATGTTGAAACCCACCAAAAAGGGGTTCAACCCAAACATTGTCCAAACCCCAAAGCTGCTGTTTAGAAGAACCAAAAAGCGAACGCCCAAACATTATTCCAAGCCGAAAGGTGATGTTGAAACCCACCAAGGGGTTCGACCCAAACATTCATTTTGCCAAGCCCAAAGGTGATGTTTAAACCTACCGACAAGGGACGCGTGGATAGGGGTTCCCCAAATATGTCCAACCCCAAAAGTGATGTTTAAAACCACCTTTTAAAGGGAACGATAGGGAGCCTTGAGCTTTGTCTGGTCACTTTGGGTGGTCTGAGGGAGGTTTGGGTCCGGGGACCCTACCAGAGATGGCATTTTGCTTTGAACAACCAGATCTTGGCGTTTGTCTTGGGTTTGTTCTCGCACGACTACAAAGTGAGGCGTTAATCATCTTTCTAAAGTCCTTGCCGCCCCCAAAAGTCGACAAACAACAATTGTCTCGAGCTGCAAACATGGTTTGGCCTTTGTTCTTTTCAGTCTCCTTTCAGACCAAGACTAAGGGTACCCCTCACGGGCCCCTGCCGTTTGGGACACAACTGGCTCAAAGAGCGCCTCTGTCTTTCCTGCATGTCAAGGTAGGATAGTGCTTGCCTTGTCTTTTAGCCGAAACCGTCCCGATGGGGCTTCCCCTTTTGCAGAAAGGGGGCTCCGAAGACTTGGCCTCTGGTAGGGTTCAATACTGACTCAGAGCCACAGGCCACCGCAAGGGGAGACAAAAGAGGGAATTTGGCCCTTAATGGGCGTAAATGGTTCCGGGAAAAAAAAGCATTAATCGTCACGATTACTGTAGGCGCCATAGCTCCCCGTGCAACTGGGCTCTGAATCAGTGACAAACAGAAACCAAACGGAAACCAATGTTCCACCTGTGTGGTTTGATCATCAGACCGGCCAAACGAGCAACCTGACAAACCCATGGATGGACAAAATCCGTTTCGCAACCAGTTGGGATTGGTTGCTACTTCTATTGCTTGTAGGAGCTCAGCCATCCCAGCTGGTGCAAGATGGATTTTCTCCATCCATCTTTTTTATTCGGCTATTGGATGGCAACCAGACATATGTAAAACTGACTCAAAGCTCCAAACCAACAATCCAAACCGCCTACTATCACAACCTTTGGGTTTGGAAGCTCGCACTCCGGTCCGGGCCCTCCGGCATACACAGCGCCATGAAGCTGGCGAAGAGCTGAGGCAAAGCGGGCGAGCGTTGCGGCCCTTGTGGGTTGGACAAAGGGACAAAGGGACAAAGGGACAAAGGGATGTATCTAGAAATGTAGGTACATGGCATATAGAGATATCTATGAGTCTCTTCCCGTGGCATGTGTATATATATATACATATATGTATGTATGTATGTATGTATGCATGTATGTATGTTTGTTTGTTTGCTTGCTTGTTTGTTTGTTTGTTTGCTTGTTTGTTTGCTTGTTTGTTTGTTTGTATGTATACATCGTGTGTATGTATATATATATATACATATGTGTGATATGATAGGATAGTACATGTTATAATATAATATGATACGATACGATACGTAAAGCAATGTAGCGTAAATGTGAACTCACATGGAAATGTACGTGTAAAGTGATGTAAAGTCTAAAGGAAAGGGAAGCAAGTAAAGATAGTAATGCAATGCAATGCAATGAAATGTAGGGACATTAAATGTAGTGAAATGCAATGTAACGCAATGAAGTGTATTCAAATGTAATCAAATGTAATGAAATGTAATGAAATGTAGTGAAATGTAGTGAAATGTAATGAAATGTAACGAAATGTAATGAAATGTAATGAAATGTAATGAAATGTAATGAAATGTAATGAAATGTATTGAGATGTATTGAAATGTATTGAAATGTAATGAAATGTAGTAACGTGTACTGAAATGTAATGTAATCTAAGGAGATGTAATGTAATGAAGTCTAATGCAATGTGCACATATGACATGTATATATAAATATATGCAACTCAATCATGGCTGTGAATCAAGAGAAACTGCACAGCTGGAGACGCAAGGTCCTTTCCACAACTTTGAATTGGTCCCCAACATGCCCTTGTATGCTTGTTTTGATCCCATCACCCGCCAAAGTTGCGAATGATCCGCGAAAATTGAACGTTGCGGGGTGCTATGCGCGTCGCTTTGGCTCTTAGCTTTGCTGTGCTGCAAACCACCGATCTGGGTGGAATTTGATAGCTCGCTAACCTGGAATTTATCTAAGGACCGTCATCACGGGTCCTCCTTTGCAAGATGTGGTTGTATGTCCCAAATCGGGACTTGGACCTGCAAGATGGGCTTCGCTTTCCCTCTGCTTCCCGAATCAATCCCAAACTAACCAAGATGGCCCCAGCGCTTTCCCCTTTGAACCGTTCCCGCACCAACCAAACCAAAAAACCAAAAAAACGGCGGGCACCGAGCTGCCAAGACGGCGCCAGAGCTTCAGGGCCCCAGGCCAGCGCCGGGGCGCGCGGGCGGTTGGAGCGCATAGCCTGCGCGTGGATTTCTGGAGCCCGTTGGTTCGGTGCTTGGGGGAGGGGCTGCCCATCTACCCTCCACAAAAGCCACGGCTTCAAACCCCCAAGCCAATCCAAACCACCAACCAAGAGTTTCCTGAACTTAAAAGACTTGCAACCATCGTAAGCGGATTCGAACCATTCTTGAGTGGTGGAGTCCCAGATCATCAAAGTAGGGAGGTTTCTAACAACCCTCGAATGGAGTGCATGGTTCCCCTGTGTGATGGAGTGTCGATAGGCAACTCTCGGAAGTTTTCTGCTTGTATTTGCATATGTGTCATCTCTATGTCCTGAAAGAAGCGCCGGCAAAAGGGAAACACGGCCTTGTCAAGCGTGTCCACCCGTTCCTTTTACCATCCTTTGAATACCGGCTGGAAAATCAGCAAGGCCCGTTTTGCACAAAAAGCCACTCGTTGTGGGGAGAAGAAAGAGTCGATCGCTGTCCAAGCAAAACACAGGCTGTCTGTGGTTAGACTTCATGTAGAGAGAATAAATGATGCGCCCAAAATTGCTCTCGGGTAGTATTGTTTGGAAAGCAGCATGTCTGCTCAGAGTCCATTCTTACTTGCCTGGAGGTTTCTTGATTTTGAAGGGATGTCCACCCAAAAAAAAGACAAAATGGGACCGGGACACCTCGGGTCCGTTGTCCCAAAACCTACCCGTCAGCCTCGAAATCAGCGTTCGAATCTCCGCCCGGCACTCGAAGGACCAAGCGCCTCGTCCGGCACCATGTCAGGGTGCTGCTTGGGAATCCGCTCCTGAGAATTCGGCGGTCCCCCCATGGGTTTCTCCCTACCTTCGGGCGGAGCGCCCTCGTCGGAATCTGCTTTCAAGCGGATTGAGAAGGCCTCTCAAACCCTGGAAGATTGACAGGGGGAATGTCCCAATTTTGATGCAGCGTCCGGCTGATTGAGACGACTCGCTTGCCCAAAGGGAGTGGAAGAAGATATGAACCTGTTGCGGCCGTGACAAATGGGAACCCAGTTGATACGTAAGTTAGTGACCCGGTTGATTGACACCGGGTGTCCAAACTTACAGGGGATTCATCTTTGGGGGGCGATATTCCCGATGAATCTGCCAGATTGATATATCCGGGGTCAACATTGCCCATGCCAGGGCCCCTGTGTGTGTGTGTGTTGAAATCATCCGAATGGAGATCCTTGACCCAAAAGAGGGTTGTCCAACTTCGGATGGGGATGGATATGGGACCTACTTAGTAAGTTGTCGTTACCATGGATAAACCAAAACCCTGGCTTTCTTAGACTGTGTGTTGCCTGCTTACTGGTGGGTTGAACATCCAAGTGCTGGACATGTCCCAGCCGATATGCTTTGGAAAATGACACCAACAAGTAGGTGAACAGCCTGTTGGAACTAGAAAGCTGCTTCATCGATCTCAGAACCCTGCTGGAAAGATTCACACATTTGAACATGCAACAGCACTAGGACCCGCCGCAACCATTGGTGCCTTTGGACACCATGGAAGAGGTTACAAGAAAGGTGTGCGCATCATCCAATTTTCTCATCATGGAAACGAGTCGCCTTGTTTGTCCATAGCCGCGCCATTGCAAGAACTTCGGCACCGCATTGCCCCCCAGAGGCCCGGGCGGCAAACCACCGCTGGGAAGGCGCCATCGCCTGCGAGGCGCCGGACAGAATTCGCCGGGAACATGTGCGAAGTCTTGGAGAGAAGCTGAAAAATGTCAAGAGAGCGTTGCTTCGTGCCCGGGCACGGGGGCAATGAAGGAATATCAGGTTTGGCACTGCAGGGATGAGCCGAACAGTTTAATTACCCGAACCAATTCATTCGGAAAGTGAAGTCACCTATCCTGCGCACGGCAAGAAAGTAGCCACAAGAGGCAAGCTCCTCAGTGAGCGGTTGGGACATTCTAACGTCACCAAGCTCAAGAACTGAACAGCAGGATGCATGAGCTCCCGGGTAAGCTGAACATCTCAAGCCTGATGTCTCTGGTGGTTCATCAATCTCTTGCTGCAGGTTAGGACTTTAGTGGGACATGACATACATATATGTATATATATGCACATATATGTCTTAGATCCCTCAAACTCCTATTGCTGGGAACCGCTAGGAAAGACAACAAAACTGGATGGATGCAGCATTGCACTAAGACCTGGCCCAGAAGTGGAGAACCACCCAAAAGTTTCAGTGCCAAAGACTACACAGGAGTTCCGCGTGATCCATCCTCAGGCCATGAAACTGCACACGTGGCGTTGCCATCCCGGCAAACTGCAAACAACCCGGGTGTCACTGGTCACATTCTGTGGCACCTTTGGAGGGAAGTCCGCAAGGGGGCCCAAATTTTAGAGAGAGCCTCTTTGCTGCATGGCCCACGGGAGTGATGCTCATCTCCATTCTGGAATGGAGGCATCAGCTTAAAGTGAGGCATCCCTATAAAAACAATGATTGAGGTGGCAACCCCCAAAACACATGCGAGGTCCTCATTAGCTCATCCCCATCCGGTCCAGTTCACTCGCGGGTTGCCTTTCTGGGTGCTCCCCATTTTGCCTAAACACACACGAGGCACCAGGCCGAGGGTGCTCTCTCACCAGGTGTTGGAAACCCTCCATTCGCTCTTGACCTCCAGTCCATGATCAATCTCCAGAGTCACTGTTCGCTCAGCGCCGTCCCCGAATTCATCAACCTCGTGGAATTTATTAAATAGGGGGGGGTCCCCGAAAAGTGAAGCAAATCCTTTTGAACGGGACACCCCTATTAGTCAGCCAGCGGTTTTTTCATCGCTGTCCATTACGTATCATTCTGAATGACTGTGAGGAGAGCAGAGTGTTGCAGATCTCACTTGCCTTTACAAACTGGGTGACCCTAAATGAGTTCAAACAAATGGGTTCTAGGATGCTGCACACATGACTGTCTATTGGTGCCAGCTAGAAACTGATTATCCGAACCCATTGTTTTTTGGAAGGTAGAGCGGATTTGAAGGGAAACCCCATGTTGGGGGGTCCCCCTGAAAAGAAGCACACGCCCATTTCGGGTCTGTGACCCCATCTGGTCGACGGGCCCGAGTTCGCCTTTTCGGGCCCTGCCTGGCGCCGGAACAGCGAGGCTGGCCTGGCAAACAGGCGAGGCCTTGCCTTTAAGCCTAAAATGGTGCCTTCATGGGTGGCTTCATGACTGGCTTCATGGGTGGCTTCATGGTGGCCTCATTTTGGTTTCATTTTGGTTTTCCGTTAACACAGCTTCAATGAGGACACCCTCAACAGAAGACACCCATGTTTCTGCGTGTAGGTATGGCTCTTCTGTTCCTGAAGCATGCTTCAATACAGAGCATATGAAAAATGGTATCATGGGCTTGGTGAGCCATGATGCATTTTTGGACACAAACATCCTGCTCCGCCAAATCAACGGGGACTCGGACGGAGAATCTCGGAGTCAAATGTCGAAACAACTTGACATCAAACCACCCCAGCCGGTGCCGCGGAGAGAGCTGCCCGACACCGCCTGCACATGTCTTCTCCATTTTTCTTGCTTCATCTGGTGCACGGAGCCGCGCACGTCCGACACCAGAAGTGCAGCTCCTCCACGTTGCGCTGCCGCTGCTGTTGCTGCCGGCGCGGTGTGGGCTGGCTTGCACTTGCGGACGGCGGTGGGTTGGGCCAGATCTGCACCACTAAAGGCCCTTCACGACATGGACTCGCCGCAGGCTATGCAAGTTCCTCATCCCGAAGCCCAACTGCCAAACATGTGGTCTAAAACATAGGAGGAGCTTTTGGCTGATCAGAACCTGGGCAACATGCGTGAGCTCACGCATCAATATCACCAGGCTCCAAAGACCACATGATGGGCGGCTTGCCTTACCACTGTGAGTGAATCCTAGGGTGCCGAAATCTGGGAAAAAACTGCATGCAACCAGTGGCCGAGGAAGAGAAGGAATTGGAACCCTTTCGAGGGTCACTGTTTGAAGTGGGGCAACCCACCAAATAAAAGTGGAAGAGGCTGCCTGTGAACAACTGGGACAAGGCCAGCCAAAACTGCTTGCATAGCTTCCACCGCATGCACGGGTTCGTCTAAGCCTGCCCTTCTTCGGAGCCCATCCTGGGCTATGCAGGAAAATATTTCTTTCAGATTCAGCTTCATATGAGTCGACCCGTCTCGGGGCCGGCAGCTAGCTCCTGAGCCTCCAAGTCTCCTCACACCATAGAAACATCCCCTCAGGTTGTCCAATTTCAAGACCCCCCCCAAAACCTGTCAAACCACTGGGTTCCCCCGTTCATTTTCGGACGCAAGCTCCATTTGGCCCCTGTTTGATTCGAGCCAGTGCCACAGCCGTGAGCCTTCGCCAGGCTCTGGTGAGCAACATGGCCTCGGCTTCTGCAGCGAAGCACGGGGCAGAATGGCCCGGTCAACTTCCGTTCGGCCCCCAAATGACCGGAAATATTGTCTTTTTAGTGGTTTCCCCAATGGTCATCCCATGTGAAGGACCTTTTGAGCAACCCCCACATACTTGTTCCCCCAGGACGTGGGAAGTCCGGAAGTTTGCGTTGTTCCCACGACAGAGTACCAACAATAGGACGGGGAAATGAACAAGTCCGCCTCGTTTGCTGAAAATTTAGAGTGTTCTCCATATCCTTCCAGAATTGGACATAGCATCTTAGAAACATCTGTGGTTCATGGGCTGGGGACAAGGGTCGCCGCAGAAGCTTATAGTTCAGCTTGTACTTCAAGCATCTCTGACACGTGAGCCCCTCCGAGGGGGTACTCTACACTTCTAGGTCGCTCAATTTTTGCAAGGGGGGCAAAAGCGAACCCATGCCAAGTCCGCAATCTTGGGAATAGAGTGAGGTCGAATCGGATAGGCAAGCAACGGCTTCGGAAATGTTGGGTTGGTCCTTCAAGGTTCCTTGGGGCAATTCAGCAACTCCAAGTGTTGAATGTTGGACACAAGCACACACACACACACACACACACACACACACCGACACCGTCACATGCCCAATATAGATGTTGCTTCCTCTGCTGCAGTTTGCTATATATAAAGTCATGCGGGGGTCTCCTTCCAACCAAACACGGACCAAGGATACTAACTGGTACCTTCTCTGCCCTCCTTCCCTCCCCTCCAAATCATCCTGAGGGTCCCAGCGCAGCCAACTCAGGGACGCCCAAAACAATGGGCAGAATCAAACTCGGCTGGACGCCGAGAAATTGTCTCTCCCCACTAAACTTTGAGCAAAGCGGCGGCTTGGAATGATCATTCAACTTAGCCTGACGGAAGAGATGCTTCAGGCAGTCGTTTACTCTCCAGTTTGGCCATGATTCCCCCATGAGCGGCGTCGAGCAAAGCTGGGCCGGTCTCCAGCTGCTCAACGGGACTAAACCGGACGCTTCCAAAGGTGAATCTGAGGAGAGGGTGAGGTCGCAAGGCAAAATCCCCTTGTCAGGACGCTATCAGTTGCCCAGACGCATGCACAAAGGAAGCCAGCGCGACTTTAACATGTGCCAAGATTCCGCTGCATTCCCACATTTCGGCAATCAACAGTGCACCGGTCATCTGCAAGGATTGCATTGGGCTTTGTGGTCACACTCAGCCGAACGCTCAAGCAGCAACTTGACCGAGTCCAATCCACAGCAGGTTTATGAAGGAATACCCAAAGATTGCTCAAACAATAGCGGTTAAGAGATGTGTAAACAACGTCTTGGCCCAAGGCTCCTCACTTCTCCACGAGTAATTCCGAGTAATCCACACGTGAGATTGTTGAAAACCAGCTAGTTGTGCAACGTGACAGGACAACCTTCTTGACTGTAAATTCTGGCCTGTCTGGCTTCAAAGTCCATGATCTTTTGGGCCCCTCACCATGAGAGGTTTAGCGATTTTTGGTGCCTGGGGGCTTGTAAATGTTGATTTTGATGGGTTCGGCCACTCAACGAAGCAATTTGTTAGAACCCGACCGGGTCACCCCCAATCAACTGCAGGCTCCTTTCTTCTCGAAGTAAGTCGGCTCGCCATGTGTTGGATTTTACCGACATTAGAAAGGACAGGGCGATCGAAACTGGGCCTGTGGAAGACCTGAAGCAATGCCTCTGCCAGGATTCTCAGAAGCAAACCTGCGCTTTCCGGGTTTTCCTCATTGGGATTCAACTGACATTCTGTTTTCCTGCGTGGCTTTGTTCTGCCCACTTCTCGTCAGATGCTTTTCCTCAAACTCGTCCTCGCCCCCCCACCGCCCAAACAAGTTGCTGACTGCTGAAGACCGGAAGAAACCCATGGGTTGGGGGGAAGTGACCCTTTCTGCGATGCCAAAGTCACTTCAAAGGACACACCTCATGGCATCACAAAAACAAGTGCGTCATGATCAAAACCGATCGGTACCAAAATGGTGAACCCAAAACCACGTAAAGAGTTAGCGAAGGCACCCATTTCTGGTTGGGAGTGTCCCTTCACCTTCAGCTACCCGGGTCGGGAAGGGATGTGGCTCAGGTGAAAACCCCATTTTCCACATGACGGGCCGCCGACGTTCATATTTTCCACTGCGTCCTTGTGAGCCTCCTGAGGGCACCGCGCCGGATAGGTGCGATCCCCATGGCGGGGCCGGAACTCGTGCTTTCACAAATAGGAAGTGGTCAACTGACAATGGAATGGTGGTACCCTTGTGGTTTTCCTTTTGGCTTCCCAAAAGTCTGTGTTTCTTGAGGGTACCTTTGTCTGTGGGAGTTGGTGTGCAGCTCGGTCAAGCTCAATGCTCAATGCTAATACCTCAAAATCATCTGGACGACATATGTGTGGGGTGGATTTGGGGACCGTTGCCCTTATTTAAAGGGAATGAAAGGGAAATCTATCATTTGGGGGTCCCCCATTTTGACACATACCTGCATGCTCATCACAAGGATTCGCCTGGAGAAGAAATCATTTTTTCACTAGCAGGCAACTCTGATTCATCCGAATCCAAATTGATGAATCTGATGCTGCTGATCAGTGCAGCCGCCAAGATGCCCAAAGCAAGGCAAACTCGTCTCGTGTTAGACTTGCGAGGGGCAAGGGTCCGACTTTTTGCTGGAGCGCCAACATGGGTCTTTCTCCCCCCATTGATGACCATGACAAAAAAGAAGCCAACGTGAAGGGATTCTAGTTCTCACACATAGCCAAATGAAAACCAACGTCAAAAAGGAAAGCTGAGTTTTGCCCTTTCTGCCATCCTATGACAACTTTGTCACGAAGGCAGCTCCCCTTATCACAGAAAGTGCGCATGGAACACAAGCCTCCCCAAACGAGACACCCAGAAACCACCCCCCCACCCCCCCACCCCCACGCCCCACCTCCCACACACCGACGCCCCACCAAGACCATGCCCCGAGTGAGTCGCGCGGCGCTCTCCTCCTCCGCGAAACGCTCCGCCGCTCTTCGCAGGGAGGTGGGGATGCCGCGGGCCTCCAGCTGCCCAGCCACCACCACCTGCGTTGCAAGCGCGGCCCGTGTGTCTTTTTTGTCCGGCTGGCTTTCCCAGAAACCTTCAGAAACACACACCCATATGGATGTTCCCAAAAAATGGGATGTTGAAATTCTGGGCTGTCTGCACTTTCAGCCTCAACTTCTGGTCTCTTGAATTATCTAGCCAAAATCAACTGTCCTGGAAAGTTGCCAAAGAGGTGAGTGAACAGATCCTTCAAATCTGTCGTTTTGCAGCTTATGAAGAGCCAATGTGCGTACCCCTGAACACCCCCTAGACAAGGCCAGCTTCCCTGTGCCTTGAGCACCATCCGAAAAGGCCCCAAAAAATAGGACATGCCCAGACGTTACTTCATGTGGCTCTGCATACTGCCACCATCTCGAGCAGGAGATGCAGCTGAGAGTCGGCTTCCTGATAAAAACAACTCACACTGATTGGTTCTCCGAACATCAATGCCGCTCTGCTGCGCATGTATTCAACTCTCGTTACAGCCGCAGGGACAGCAAAAGCGTACGCACGCCACACAAACACAAACACACACACACACACACACAAACACAAACACAAACACAAACACAAACACAAACACAAACACAAACACAAACACAAACACAAACACAAACACAAACACAAACACAAACACAAACACAAACACAAACACAAACACAAACACAAACACAAACACAAACACAAACACAAACACAAACACAAACACAAACACAAACACAAACACAAACACAAACACAAACACAAACACAAACACAAACACAAACACAAACACAAACACAAACACAAACACAAACACAAACACAAACACAAACAAACACAAACACAAACACAAACAAACACAAACACAAACACAAACACAAACACAAACACAAACACAAACACAAACACAAACACAAACACAAACACAAACACAAACACAAACACAAACACAAACACAAACACAAACACAAACACAAACACAAACACAAACACAAACACAAACACAAACACAAACACAAACACAAACACAAACACAAACACAAACACAAACACAAACACAAACACAAACACAAACAAAAACAAACAAACAAACAAACAAACAAACAAACAAACCACAACCAACCTGAGCCCCAAACGTCAAACGCTATCCGGCGGTCTCGCGCCTTGCCCCCTCGTGATCGAAGCTCACCCTGGATCCTTGGAGCATCGCCAGGGAAACCAAGCGTCACGAATGTCTGCTCCCCTGAAACATCACCGATAAGGCTGAGAAGCTCACCTTAGACCGCATTGAGGCGCTGGCCACACCGGCACCAGGGGCGAGGAGGGCGCCTGGCCCAAAAAAAATACGGGAACCCCCCCCAAAAAAAAAAAGATGTGCTGTCATGTGAGTCATCATCAAAACCCGGTATCAAAATCGTCGACCCAGAACCATATAAAGAATTAAGAAGGCGGATATCCGCAGCTGTTTATGGTTGGGATTGTCCCTTACTAACCTTCGCCCACCTGGGTTTTGGTTGTGCCTCATGTTGGGTGTCCCTCTAAAACCTTCCCAAAAAGTACCTTCAAAAAAATGACAGACCCCAATTTTGAGGAAACTCCTTTCGCAGCTATTTCAAAGGTTGGAATTTCAGGTTTTCTGGGATGCGATTCCTCTTCCAGTCCCCTGACGAGAGATGATTGGAAAGACTTTGGATTTTGACCAATGCCGTCCCCACTTTGAAGGAAGCCTCAGTGATGCTGGTAATGCTGATGATGCTGACCGAAGGGGTCAGCTCACCTGTACTTTATGTTGGTGATGTTGCTATCGCTGTCTGGAGGTTCAAAGGAATCGTGACGGTCTCACTTTGCACCAGCAAGAGGCATCAAGTTTTGTGCTGGACATTGGCATTTCACGCTTGTGGGGCGGGGGCCTTTCTGCCGCTCACCTCCC